AAAATAAATAATTTGCTAGTTTCATTTGCACTGTGCATGGCTAAATTTTACAGAATCAGGATTTTTTAAATAATTACAAAATATTATGATTGACTTAGATTAATTGAAAATTTGTGGAAAATATTAAGTTTAATTTAATAAATTTAAAAAAATTTAATCATTAAACCCAACAGAAATTGTTCTGATTTTACTTAAAATTAGATGGATAGATTGATTTAAGGAAATGTCAATGTAAATTTTTAAAATTTAGCCAGATTGGCATTCTGAGGCTCACTTTTGAAATGAATTTTTTTTATAAATTAAATTCAAAAAATAATATCAAATACTTATGGATTCCTTATTAGTCAATAGCATTGAGAGTTTACAACAACAGGAGCCACTTTTAGCCATTTTTCGAAAGAAAAAAAATTCAAAATTTCAACCATCACTACTGAATTTTGAAAAAGATTTTGCTTTCTTAATTTGGTACACATTTTTTACAAGGATTCTCTTCTTATGTAATTAACAATCCTTTTATTTGACCTGCTCGGAGAGAGAATAAAAGAAAATTAATTAAAAATAAACAAATAAAAAGCCTTTTACTTTGCCGATTATATTATATAAAAGGCAGTATGCATATAGTATACAATTCCTTTATAATGATGCTTTGGATATTAATATAACATCATACGATCCGGGAGAAGGAAAAAATTGCCCTTTTTTAAATGCTTGGATCGCGTAAAAGCAGCAGGCGAGATGAGAAAAGTCTCGCGAAGCACGCGGGCAAATAAATAAATCTCTGATTGCGCGGCGGAATTTCGCCTCGCGATCAAAAGTGGCCTGGGAAAATGCCGGCCTCTTGTGTTTATCCGGCGATGATTAACCCTTGCTGCATGCACAAACACTCTCTCGGCGTGCATGTTTGCCATGTGAATCGTTAAAATGCATAGGAGTCACGAAAGTAGCTGCAGCGCGGCTCAGGTATTAATTTGCTCGCTAATAACGCGAAAAGCATACATCAACACCGAGCGAGAGCAGAAATAAAATCCCGCAGTCTCACGTACAAGAACATAAAATGCAGCACACGTGAATTTGCTCCGCTTTTAATTCGCCCTGCCGGCGAGAGCTGTTGCCGCTCAATATGCGCGAGAGAGAGTAAATAATTTATATGTATATGTGCATGCGGGGCTTGTTATTTATATTTACTCGTCGGCTCTTGGTAGGTAACCATTGCTGTATGTGTGCAAAAACAATGTGTGTATTTTGGAGTTAATTAACACCTTCTTCTTCTTCTTTTTGCATAAACACTTACCGGCGCCAGACGCGTGATTTCCCAGAGTTATCTCTCTTCCAACATAGCTCTGAATTACATATTATATTTTTATGTTTTAAGCCTAACAGGATGTGCGCTCAAATTGTCATTTTCCAAGAAGATTCAATGTGTGGTCATCCATTAGGATTGATTTCAAAATTGTCAAGTCAAAGAGATATTGCAACACTGAGACGAGACTCAATGCGGCGAATGGGATCATTTATTATCTTCAAAATTTTAGCAAGAAAAATCAGTCTCCCTTCCCTAATTTTTTTTTAATGTATGTAAATTTTTTTAAACAATTTGACAAATAAATAACAACGCATATTATTATTACATAGAAAATTGACTCTCAATTTTATTTTTTCATTGCCATAATATCAAAATGAAGTCATTTCAACAATGTGGGTTAAAATTTCCAACAATTGCTCTCATTGTTGGAAAGATTTGATTTGGCTATGTCAGTTAGGATTCATCCACGGCTCGCTGCGGCGGAAGTAGTGTTTCTGACCTTCTGAAGTTTTGCTACTGGTTGATGCCGTTTTGTCCTACTATTCCCTTTTAATAAAATATGCGTTTTACAACTGTATATAAAACCAAATAATGATAAAAAAAAAAAAAAAATAGGGATGAGCATAAAAATTAGATGCAACAATAAAATTGATTAATATCCTTTTTTAATTTTTTTACCGCTTTTACTTCAGGCCAAAAGATTTTAATGAGTTTGAAATAATTTAAAAGAGATACACCGCTGAAATTTTTCAATTTAAAAAAGTTTTATTTTATTTTCCTTTTAGAGTGGGTAGCTATTTTCACAGATATATACTAGCTATATCATATGTGCCGCTATGTGCTTAAAATTTCTCAAGTTTTAGCATTACATCAATAAACTCTATTTACAAATTGTATATAAAGCCTTAATATGAAAATAATGCACACAAATATTCTTTTATTTGTAATGATTTCAGTCTATTTGTCAATTTTAAAATTTTAATTGTTTTTAAATTTTAGAAATTAGGGTTAAATGAATTATAGCGAACTGTTTCCCCAAACAATTCAACTAAGTGATTATATTTCCTTTTTTTTAAATCTCAACAATATTGAATAAGCTGAGATTTATCATTGTGTTAAAAAGCGCTCTAATAATGTATAGGGATGGAAATGATAGAATGAAATATTGCATTTTGTAACATCAAAACATACGAACAAGATAAATTGCGCATTTTTGCGCGTTTGGTACACGGATGGAGCGAGAATCCGCTTTAGTTGGAGGCGGTGGGCAAAATAATGTCAAACGTAAACGTCCACTTAGAGAGTGCCGGTAATATATTCTCGCGCTCCGGCAGCAGCAGAGTGCACTGCGCAGCACAGAAATGCGAGGCCCATCTCACAGTGGTCCAGTGCCAGCCAGCGGTGGCGGTGGTTGAGAAGATGTATCAAAGTCTGCGATCAGCGCTCGAGACACACACACACGGCGCGGGCAAAAGCATGACTCGGACGCGAGAGACGACGGGCCTTTAGCTACCTCACATGAGCCTAATGAGTCTTCATTTACATAAAACACGACACGACTTCGGGGCCGAACGCGGAAAAATCTCCTCGCGAGAGCTGCATCTTCGCTCGGTGCATATTATTTTTTACGCTTTTCGCCTGACGTCAGAGTGCATTACTGCTTTTTGCACCGTAATATTTTTATTCGACGCTCATTTGCTCATTTGCATCTCCGAGAGGCAGCATGATTCCCGATGCGCGTGCTTTGATTTGAATTTTATTGTTTGCATTATTCTCGATTCTCTTTTTATGCAAATGTGATTTGGGTCGCGGGAATTCGAAAAATTCCTAATTGTCTCTCGCGGCGCACTTCATGACCGCTGCCGGCGCAATTCTGTCTGCACAAAGAGCGCGGAAATTGCATCCTTGTGTGGGGGCGAGACGCTGGGAAAATCTCTCTTCGCAATTATATTGCCCTAACTGTTCAAAAATAAGATGCAAAATTTCGCTAATGAATGCCGAAGCAATTCAGTAGTCTTAACTCTTCGTGTATTGTATGCTTGAAAGGTTAATTGCCAGAGCAGTTCAAGGAAGTTAATTTTAATAATTTGCTTTAAATTGTTCTCAAATTTAACGAAACACTTTTTTCTTTTTAAATTTAGGAAATTAACTTGGACATCATGAGTCTCTACTAACTAAAAGAGTTATTATTTTCAATTTAAATATATTTTGTAGACAAATTTAACAATATAAATTGAAAATCATAAGATAAATTGGGTCTCTATTATTTTTTGCACTGAATGCACAAAAAGCAGAGAGCTTAATTTTAATTAGAAATATAGTTTTAATTTTCAATATATTAAAAATTTTAAACAAAAATTATGCAAATAAAAAATGTAGAATAGATTAATTTTTTTTAAATATATTTGATGTAATTTTCTCTGACAAATATTAAAAAAAGTATATATATAATTTTTTTTATTTCTTTATTAGAATAGAATTGAAGCAAACATAATTAATAATTTGCTGATATTGCCAATTACTGAGAGATATCGTCAAGCAAAGTCAATCAAAGAGCCAAAATTGATCTCTTTTACTTAACAAATGATAAAATTTGATTTTTGAAAATTAAAATCATTCCATAAAATTATAGATAAATTATGAATTATGCCATCGCCCATTTTATTTTTTTTTTTTTAAGAAAGCCGCGTAAAATTATTGATTTATTATTATGAATAAGAATATCAATAAGTTGTGTCGCGATTTATGACGCGTTTAAAAGAAACATCAACACGCGCAGCAGTTTGTTCGAAATAAACGGTGGCGTTTTTCAATTAACGAGAGTTATGTATACGAACGCGTGTCTTAATAGCGAAATGCAATCCAACCAGTAAGTGCACTTTGCCATTTGCCAGGAGAGAAAGAACAACACAGGTGATGGATGGACCGATAATTCACAGCTCATACTTGGCGGCGTGACATCATTTGTTTATGCGAGAGGTGCAGATTTGCATCTCCACCGCGGCCGTTTTTCTCACCCATCTCAGAAAAAAGATCGCGAGGAGAGAATAATTGTGAAATTTCATTCCGCGAAATCACTCTTTGAGCTGTCATTCATAAATTTATTTGGCCGCGCGCCGTAATTGCGGGAGATGAGGTAATGATCGGTCTCTCTCATGCATGGGAAAAAACTGTTTCGCTCTTCTATGCACGCGGCCACCAACCTTATAATGGGCATTTATTATTAAATTTGACATTATCCTTCAGGTTTGGAAGAGCAATCGGCGATTGTGAGCGCACTGTAGACGGTCGTTTATCTTTTTGCCTGGGTATATATTTTTTCAAAGGAGGAAATCGGCCGAATCTCTTTTCCCAACGTATTTATAAAACAGCGCTTCGTTTATCTTTCAAAGAGAAGAATCCCAAGAGCGTTAGTTAGAAGGTTAGAAATTTTGGGCAAGTATCAATCAATCGCGATAGTGAATGTCGAGCTTTTTCACTCTAACGGGGCAAATTTGCGCGGCTCATTGTGTGAGAATCGACAAAATTGGAGATAAATCAAACAAAATGTTTGTTTCCAACAGTTTACGGACTGATTGTTAAGCGCATTAAATCCGCCGGGGAATGCCTGTTTGCCCGTTTTCGGCTGCAGCTTAATTGGCGAGAATCGGCAGGATGAAAGAAAGAACGATGATCATAATTCGGCGGTAGTCCTTACCTGCACATTGTTACGAAGTATTCCGTCATAAACCAGCCAATGACAGCATTCCAAAATCAATCTGCAAACAGAGAGAAGAGAGGTTCAAAAGGGCAAAGCATTTAAATGATTTTAATGCCAAAAGTGTTTGTATGTTTTTCTTTGTAAATATGCATTTGTTTTATTTCAAAAGTAATTCTGGGGAGAGTGAAACAGTCGGGTCTGTTTGTTGTTTGCAGAAAACCGCTCTCGTTATCTTGATGCGAAATGTTTGAAATTATTTTCTGATTGTGCCGCTTAGCCGACGCGCTGCTCTCTCACAATCTGATAATTCGTTCATGTGAACACATTCTTATAGTGAAAATTTATCCGATCGGGACCGCCTGTAAGATGTGGGCCTCATAATTATATCCACGTTCAAAGAACGAATTGCTTTTTTTTATTAGAAAATAAATTTACAAACTGTAGATGATTCTTGCGCCCCTCACAACAAAAGTTAATTCTTCGTCTTTGTAATTTTTTTATCTTATTGGAATTAAACAATATTCTTTATTTTCGCAAAATAAATAAACGATTCTTCGATCCTTATTTATAATTTGATTTGTTTCAAATTTTATATTTTTTTATGTAAAATTCAGCGAAAATGACCTTATCAAAGATAACAGAATAATGAGGAAAACCAAAACTGGTTTAGTTTAAATCATTGCTTTACAAAATTTTTTCTAATTTGCATTCAACTACAGAGTTTCGCTAGATTTTAATCGTATAGCTAATTGATCTTTCAGTAAATTTTAATCAGAATTAATTTAATAAATACTTTTTTGTCAGTGTGAAATACTGAGAAATTTTTATGTGATATAAAAGGTTCCTATAGTTTTGTTTAGAAATTTCGCTCGTCTAAAAATAATTTTCAAGACTGGTATAAGTTTAATCGTTTCATATCCATACTTCATCTACAATATTCTGTAATGTAATTACTTCAATGCTAAATGTCCGATACAATTTATTGTGAAAAACGGAAACCAGAGCTCTTGTTGAGGAAAATGAGCAAATCCTATTTATACATGATAAGTATAATAACCTTATGAAAAAAAATCAGCCGCGACATGGAATAAAATATATGCATTAATTTAAAAAGTTTATTTAAATTTATATTAATAATGCTATTTTTCTGTATTGCAAACAGAGTGCTCACTTAAACAAATAATGTGACTTAATTATTGAATTAGCCCGTTTTTCAGGCGGCCCTGGCACCGCTCACTCTCACAACAAAGTACTAAACCCTTGGCTAATATGATTTCCGATCAGATTTATTATTTCAAGCCTCAAGAGTGCGCGGGGCGTGAACTTGTGAACAAATTTATGGCCACACAAATATTAAATAACACGTCGCGCTCTTTTATATACTCTTGCTCTCTTATATAAATTTTTTGTGTAATATCTCTCGTCGTCGAGAGAGCAGAGAATGAAGTTAGTTTTTTTCCACCTGGACACTCACTTTAAATCATGTTTGTGCATTGTGCGGATTCATTTCACAGACTGAGTCGTCGCTGCTTGTAGGAGTGTGCGGAGAGAGAGAGAGAGAAAGATAATTAAATTAACATAATAATGTGACATTAAATTTTATGAATTTGTTTTAAATCAATACGAGGAGATAAATTTTATGCACACGAAGACAGAAGATAAAACAACATATAATACGCCATTATTACAGTTGTTAAGTTCGAATGCACTTTTATCTGGCCTTGGTCATATATTTTAACTCTATCCTTTTACCCCTTCACCACGCAACTCGCGACTAGAGAGCTCTCAGCGGGCAGCTTGCGATCGGCCGAGGCGAGTGCCCCAGCAACTCCACAGTTCCTATTTTACATCCGCAATCACTGTGTGCCTGCCATTTTTATTGTTTTATCTTCACAATATGACATTGATCATGTTGGTGAAGTGCAATTTGCTCAATTTTCTTATCAGGAATCTTGTTCTCAACATAACGAAGGAAATCCCTAGCCCAGCCGAATTCAATTTTTGCATTGTAATGAAATTAATAGATTTAGAAGTGAGAGAAAAGAATGAGCAAAAAATGTTATATTTTCCTCACAAATCATTAAAATTACAGGTAAAATTATAAACCTGGGAAATATAATAAAAATCTTGGACACTATTATTGGCAATCCTAGATTAATCTGAGTATAATGGGCGTGACAAAAATAAATTAAATTCGCATAATTTATCTGTTTTGGCTGCAGGGCGTTAATATTGAACCAAGTTTTAGTGGTATGATCAACGGAAATTTTGTTGGAAAAGATGAAAATCCATAGAGGATGAGATATTCCAGAATTTATTGAAACATAATGCACTTGGTTAAACAGCCGTTTTTTGCTGTGCCTCATTTAAAAATTTTATTTGTTACAATCTTTAAAAGATAAAAACAAGCTATGCAAGAAGATAAAAATATATCCGTAATAAAAATAAGAATTTCAAGCCTTGTTTTCGTAAAAAAGCAGGCCAAAATAAATTAGGAGAGATTTTTTTGCATATTTGGCTTATGTGCTTTTAAAATCACATTAATCTTTGGAGTTGCTTGAAAAGTAAATTCATGAAAACCAGAACTTGACACTAACACAATGGACAGAGCACTTTTTAGCGCGGCTCGGTGACAAATAGGACTGGAATTTTGAGATTCCATGCCACTACTTATTCAAATATGTGAAGCTTGCTTTGGCAGACAACAAAAGACGCTGTTATTTTAAAATTTAAACAAACACATAGGCGGACTCTTTACGCAATGACTAATAACCAATGACCACCATAACTATTTATGACAGTAATTCGTTAGGTAGCGTCCATTTCATCAATTAAATTAAATTGATAAAATTTGCAAAGAATATTTGCAAGGGAAGAAATCAAATGAAATGATAAAATTGATAATTGAAATACTATTCATTCCAAATAGAATCTAATCTGATTATTTTTTTAATTCTCAAATGTAAAGAAACTAAGAAAGGGGTAATTAATTTGCTGAAGAGTTATATTGATCAGCATAAAATTAATGCAGACAATTTTATACAGAGCCCATAAAACTTCAGATAAAGAGAATGAAAAAAATCCGGAGAAGTCAATTTGGATTGAACTGCTTTCAAACAAACCTGGCTGCAATTTGCAATACATATTTAGATAAGATGAAAAATTCAGGTTATAAAAATTAATTTATTTTATTTAATTGATTAAGACCACATTTAAAATTTTCAACTCGAATCAATTAATTGGTTTTTGAAGTTACTCAATTTATTAATTTATTTCACTCAAACATTAGCTACTTCCCAAATGGAAAGTAAAAACCAATTTGCTAACAATTCATGCAATTGTACTGTGGAATTAGAACCCAATTTCTAATACACTAGGAGTTTAAAAAACTCACCAAACGAAGAGTCACCCTGGATCGGGTCGGCGAGGGCGTCAGGCACAGATGGGCGAGAGGGTTCACACGCGACTGAAGGTCCAGGTAGTACGAGAGCGTGATAGTATTTTTGCTCCGCCTCTCAGGGCACGATTGGCCGCCGCGGTCTCGGCACCACGTGCAATCGTCCTCCTTTTTCTCACCCGCACTATGATTATTTCCATCAGAGCTGAATTATATATGAAGACCCGCTCCGTGTGTTTGCGACGCTGTGTATAATTCCACTTTTCGTTTCCAGTTTTGCCTGCCCACCGCTGACGTTTTATTTTGCTCTCCGCGTCGGCCAGCCGAAAATTTTAAATTATGACAGCGGAGATGAAGCAAAATCAGGCAGAAGAACACCTAGCAGAATTCTCACTCGTCCCTCCTGGCGTGTCCATTGCTTTCAAACGTTTCGCATCTTGCAGTTTCATCTAATAAAAAATAAAACCTTTTTTATTAATACATTAAGTCAGCCATCACAAAATTATTATGGTAAATGTTTTTGCAACAATGGTAATATCGTAGTAATAATGTATTAATAATAACAAATTTGTCTTTTTATGATTTATAATTAAAAAATTGTAATTTTTTATTTATATTTTTGGCCGTTTATTATAAATTAATTTTTTTATAATTATGTGTTAAAAATGATATTTTTTAAAAACAAGTTTTTAAAATAAACATGGTTTAAAATAATTGACAATACTTATATATATTTAAATATTTCAACAGCGATATTAAGAATTGATATCTTTACACTTAATTTGCTTGGGCAGCAGAAAAGTGCATTATTATTGTCATGCAAAGTTGAGAAAAAATTTTAATTGAAACGAAAGCCATTTTTAAGATTGAAACATTTCAAATTCCCAAATATTAGTTATAGTCCACATAATATTAAACCAATGAAACAGAAACACTATTATAAGTGTAATTTAAAAAAAGAACAATACGATTTTTAATTATCGAGTATAATTATATCTTATATCACAATTATAAGGAAGCTCACGCAGCATAAATTTATTATATCATTCATGCGTTCTTATCTCAAAAGCTACAATGAAATAAATTTATTCGAGTATAAACATTAATTGTTTAAAAAATTCTTCTCTTTTTAATCCTAGATATAAATGTATCTATAATTTGATATTTGGCTATCCCATCTTAATTAAATCCTCTATTTTTTCAAAATTTTCTAAATTAATACAACGCAATACAAACTAAAACTCTTAATAGTAAAATTCACCTGCGCTCCAAAATCTGGAGGCAGTGGTGCCCATTTGAAGCACCTGAGTTTCAGGGGCCGCGACAAAAGCTCTATCGAGAGCCATCTGAAAAGGATATGGTGAATTACACAGAGGTTCGGGCACTCGGCGCCGACGACTATCGACCCGACGGAACAAAATCATGTGACTCGGAGAGCTTGTGGTCTCTCATTGCGATGCTTGTTGCATTTCTTCTTCTTCGTCGCTAAACATACCTCGATTACAATCGTTTGCAAACTAGTGCGGCCGCAGCGGCAGATCAATTTCATTTCGCAAAATGATTCCGCAGAGTTCGGCGTCAAACTCGACCAAGGTGATATTCTCCATTTGATAGCGTTTCATTCAATAACTCAAATTCCTTTGGCATGTTTTTTCCCGACAGGTAGCCTTTTTGATACACCTGCTATTCATCGCATGGTAAGTTATTCGGGGCGCGGTTGTGACAATTTTAATTATCTTTTAATTCATATCTTAGGGGTGTCCAAGGCATTTGGAGTCCGGACTCTTATCTTTTCTACAACACTTTCTTCCTGTTGACGCTGCTGTGGGGAATTCACAGTGCTGATGCCGAGGATCCAATTCAATTGGTATGAGCCTAAAATTTATTTTGAAAAAAAATTTATTAATTTCATATCAGAATTTTTTTTTAAATTTTACTGATAAATTATTTATAAAATATAATATTACAAGTCATTTTAGAAAATATTAATTAATATGAATGTTATTTTCATTATTTTTTACTGTTAATAAACACTTCAGAAATATTTTTTATAAATTTCAGAAGTAAAAAATTTTAATTTATATATTATTTTCCTCATTATACGTAATCAAATAAATTTTTATTAAAATTCCATCTATTTAAAAATTAAATTTATGTGCCATGAAGATTAATTTTGTAATCAAGTTCTCTAAAGTAGAAATCAAATAATACAGTTTATTAACCAACCTTTTTGCTCAACGTTGTGATTTAATAATTTTAAAGATCATGATCATTATTTTAAAACTGTTAAAATTTCTTTTTTATTAATTTCTTCCAGAGTCTCTGCATAAATATCCTGAGCATTGTTCTAGACATAATTGTTCTCTCCATTTACTACCCAACCTTCGTCAGCCTAAGTAAGCCATCTGCACAAATAATTTTTCCCCATATTTATTAAATCCTGGAAAACTCGTTTTTTAAGTCGGAAGTGAAAGGTTCAGCGTGGGCATGGCCATCATCAACCTTTTGCTACGGCCCCTGTCGGCTTTCGGCCTTTACCGCACCCTTCAGGACAGGGTTGGCTCGACCAACGTCAACATTCTGCCCGGCGGCCCCAACGTCCTGGGCAACGTTTTTGGTCAGTTAACATTTTTTTTTTAAAGCAAGGGTGCGAATTGTGTTTCCGGGCAATTCTGATTGTTTCTAGGACAGACGAGTCCTCGAGGCCCTTACGAGGACATGGACCAGAGCAGAGGTCAACCGCCCGTGGCACCGCAGGGAGCGGCCGCAACTGCTGACAAGACTTACTACAACATCGGATAGCAAGGTTGAGCGTCCTGTAATTAAATTGGTGACTTACAAAAAAATTTTAGTCAGAGCTAGAAAAAATTTCTTTTAAATTTGAACAAAAAATTAATCACATCCGCTGGCAAAGTCAAGCAGAAAAAGCAAATGAGATATTGAAATATGACACCGCAACCTTATTATTTTGCACCCATCGAAATTTCGCTTTCTTTAACATGACAAAACTCACCAAGACAATATTTAACTTAGGTTTTGACGTTTCTTCTTAAAACTGTGCCATTTTTATTTGAACCGCTAAAATTCTAAAACGAAGATAGCGAATGCTGGTCAAAATATTCTTATACATATTATTGTCTCTCAAAAAGGCAGCTAAATTAAAAATAAAATACACATTCGAAAACGTAAGATTAAAAATTAATATTAAAAGCAGGGATAATCTCGTACATCAGCCCTTCACAAAATATGAATTTCCTATAACATTATAAAAAAGCATATTAACATTATTCCAAGTTTCTTGATTTGTTTACTTATTTTTTTTTTTAACATTTTTTGTTTGCTCTCTGTTTTTGCGTGATATAAGATAATTATTAGATTAGAATGCTGACATTTTCTTTAGTATTAATTATCAATTCTATTGCTACTTCTATATTTTGTAAACGCGGGGGACTTCATTCTAAATGTTTCTAATTTCAATAAAATTGAAAAAAATCTCTTGAATAGTTTTATTTAATGCGATGTACCTGGATAGTTGTTTTTGTTTCCTGCGTATGAAAACAAACATGCATTATATTGATTTTATGCTATCAAAACGCAACCGTACTGCTTATCAGACGAGTGCAAGGATGCAACGCGCCGAGCATGCCGCGCATTTTTATATTATTTACGTGTAGTTCAGGAAAGACGTAGCAGATGGCGGGACTGAGCAAGAAACGATGAGAAAGCTCTCGAGCAAGCTCTCGAGCCTCGAGCGTGGGCAAAAATCAAAACAAACAACAAACAACACAAGAACAACTTTGCCGGTGAATCGGTCAGAAAAATATTTGATCAACTCTGACAGGTATGTAGCATTTTTTATTGTGTGAGTTAAACTGTTTTTATTTAAAAGCTGCGGTTAAATGTGTATTACGAAAATTTTTAACAAATTTTTAGTTAAAAACTATGTTTTACACATTCAAATTAATTTTCTTATATTTTTTACATTTTTAATTACTTATTGTATTTCAATTCTTTATATTTTTATTACATAGTATAATTATTAAAAATTCATATTTTCAGATTTTTGACGTTTTACTTCCTTGCTGATCAAGATACATAAATTCTACAAGTTGCAACTATGGTATGATTGATTAGAAACAGTGAAAACTTACAATTTTTACTCTTAATTTTTTTTGAACAAGTAAAATTTATCTGTATTATGTGATATGTGATTTATGTGTATAAGAAATTTTGAAAGTTAATTTGATTTATTTGGTTAATTGTATGGTTTGTGATTTATTAAATATTTACTTCAAATTAAAATAAAAACCCCTTCATTATGTGCAAATTAAAATTCAACAAAGCATTATAAACCTAAACTTTTGAATGAAATTATTCATTTTGCTTCAGTCGGTGACACTTCACACGGACGTTGGAGACATGAAAATAGAACTGCAGTGCGAAAAGTGTCCCAAAACATGTGAGGTACGTTACATTTTTTCCTTATTACGTTTTTTACTATGAATGTAAAAATGGCTCCCAAATTGTTTTCAGAATTTCCTGGCTCTTTGTGCCAGTGATTATTACATTGGCAGCACATTCCACCGTAACATCAAAGGCTTCATCGTCCAGACGGGAGATCCGGAAAACACCGGCAAAGGGGGACAGTCCATTTGGGGCCGCAAGTTCGAGGACGAGTTCAGCGACGATCTGAAGGTAAGGAATTTTTGAAATTATCTGGAGAGAAACTAATGCATAATAAAATCAGCACGACGCCAGAGGAACAGTTTCGATGGCCAACAGTGGTCCAGACACAAACGCCAGTCAGTTCTTCATTGCGTATGCACCACATCAAAGTCTCGATCTCAAATACACAATTTTCGGAAAGTGAGTCAATCCATATAATTTGAATTATGGTTGCTCTTTGGCACATAAATTTAATGAATAAGGAAAAAATTGGTTCTAATTGTAAGGTCTAGAAATGAAGGGAGAATAAATTTAAATGAATATATTTGGGCCTTTGGAAAGTTCGGAACAATTTTTTCCTACTTCAATTAAAATTATATCTAAATTAGTCTTGTTCAATTTTAATAATTTAAATCTATAAATTTTAGGGTAATCGACGGACTCGAAGCGTTGGACGAGTTGGAGAAAATGGCTGTCAATCCAAAAACGTACCGACCTCTGACTGACACCAGAGTCAACAAAATCACAATTCATGCAAATCCTTTGGCTGGTTAGACATCATCAAATGTATGTACAAGTTCAGTAAAATAAATTATTTTAAATAATAAAATTGCCGTTAAAATTATTTTAAATATTAAAATATTGCACCGTTTTAATTATTTGAAAAATAATCCTTTGTGACTCATAATCGACTATCAATGTCTCTAAGTGGAAAACAATTACATTAGCGTAAGGAAATTGAACAATAAAATACTAATTGAGCAAGAGGGCAACTCCCATGATAGACGCGTGCCTCGATCTTTCCTGGTTGTCAATTTAACCTGCAGCAAGATATGAAATTGCACAACTGTGTACTTACTTCTCATTCGTCCCACGGTGTCTTTTAAATATTTAACAATGATTTCTATCGTGATGACGCTCAATTTGGCCACACGTCGATTTCTCAATACAATGGGCAACGTGTTTTCGCGGACCTTGCGAGTAACTTGCAAACCTTGATATTTGCAAATTAGATGCGAAAGAAACCAGCTTGCTCGCATTTCAATAATCTGCGAGACCTTTGTTTTGATCGCTTCACCCTTAGCATTTACGTAATAGTTAACCTGAATTATTTATATACCATTTTTAAAATGGGAAAAATTCTATTGCGCGTTTCTTTGTGGAAGCAATTTTTCTAATTTTCTGCCCACGGTGTGATGCGCACAGGGTCACTTGCAGATTTCCGTAAAAGCATAATTTTTTGAAAACAATAGTCTGTGTTTATAAATTGCTGCGAATTTTCATGAGAAGAGGAAACAACCTACTATGACGTTTTCCTGTGCACGAAAATAAATTCATAAAATCATTTTATAAGAACCGGAATACAGATTCAAAATATGTACTTCTTATATAATTGTATTAAATCGTTTGTTTGTCCAAATTTAAAAAAAAAAAAATTCAAAAAGTAATCTTTCATTGGAAAGGAATCTGTTGGACAAAAAGTCCTCAATATATCAATTTGGAATTTTTCAATTTTATAAAAAGAATTAAAGAATTATGTACATTTTTTTTTTCATTTCATTGGAATATGATTTGTCCATACCAAGGCCATGCCATCTCAATTGTTCCATTTATTTTCCTCAAAGAAAAGCAACTTTCCCTCGACGCTTGTTGAGAAATTGAAGAACATGCCGGGCGTCAGGTGGTAACGTCCGCTGCCGAAACACACATTCGCGCACACTTGTATAAAATAACGTAACAGTGGCCGTGAAGCGAGGAAACTTGATAATCGCGGGTCTATTCACTCGATCTATTCACCAATTTGGCGCCCGTGAGCTATTTACCAATGGACCTGGTTCAAGTAAAAAAGGAAGTTTTTTTTGCGTTCTACTATTATTATTCAATAAAAAATTACACGTTACTTCTAATGACTTTGGCAAACGTAATTAATTTATGCTTGGCACTTGGGATCGATCTTTCACTCGATTCACGAACCGGTGTCCTTGACCCTCAGCTTGTTTTGCATATATAAATTTGTGTTCGTTAGCAGACGCGAGGTCATGGTTTTATATTTTGTACCAATTATTGGTTCGTTTAAAAAGTACTTTACTTATCAGTGTGGATTTGCGGGGTCAAATGCTACCCATGGGACTTATTTAATAAAATTGCAGTTAGAAATGAATTAACACAGTATCTGTTATACAAAAAAGATGAAACGCCATACAGTATGCCTTTCACAAATTTTTTTCCCTTCGATAACAAATTTAAATTCTTGTTTCTTTGCGCACAGACTAAATTTGTTAGGGTTTTTTTGGATCTGCGCGTCATTTCAAACGGTGTCATATGGCGTGGACGAAATAAAAAGAGCAAGCGCAGCCACGTCCATGTTTTGAATTTCAAATTAAAATTATAAAATAATATTTGTCCCTCACCTTATTATTAAAATTTAAAAAAAAAATGACTCACAGCAAAAGTAATATTAAGATTATTCTTCCAAATTCATCTTAGGTTATTTAAATTTTAAATATTTTTGTTGATATAATAATTTAATTTTTATGCTCTTTGTTATGTGAAAGGAGCAAATATGTATGTTTCAAAATGCTGTTAATCGCACCTTATTTCTACTGATTCCTACAATTGAAATTAATTTTTTACAAGTTTTTCGTTTTCAAAATATTTTGATGAAAAACTATAAAGATATTGTGACAGAAAACGTTCCTTTCTAAATTGCGGATGGCATTGAGAACAAAACTCGTCAAGTCAACTTTAATTAATGAGCTAAAACCAAACAAATATAACGTTGAGAATTGACTTTCATTATACAAAAAATTTATTTCTAATTTACCACATTTATGTTGTCTTATTTCCTGTTCCAAAAAATCATGTAGTTAATGAAATAAATTTTAATTAGCTCATTCAAACCGGACAAACGACTTATTATAACATTTGCGTCAGCGGAAAACATTTTTCAAATGGCATTTTGTCAACATTTATTTTTAGGGCTCATTGATATTTTTCAACAAATTGACCTTTCTTTCAGTGTGCAGCATTTTTATAAAAATTTGATACGATTGATTTACCGTTTTGGTTACCCCAGAACGGCCAAAATTGTTGCCAGTAGGTGCACACATCTTTAGAATTTAAGTGAAGGAAGTTTTGCATTTTAGCAGCCCTTCATAAAGTGAAGAAAAGGGCCTCTGTCCTCCTTTTTTTATTAAAAAACATCCGGTTCTATTAATTTCTGCAACCATATTTGTATTGCGTAAGCTAGAAACAAATAAATTTAATTGTAACGATTATTAGTATTTTTTCTCACTCATGAAATGGAGTGGCAGTTGAGAATAATAAAAAAAATTAAATGAAGAATATGCACGTTTTCTTCAAGCCATCTTTAGAACGAGCTTTTTTTAAACGAAGCATCCTTGGCATTTTCGATTAGAATGAATGCAAACGATAAGCATCCCTCTTTCCGCTTGTATAATTATTTCACAATTTATTTCTCTTTTAATTTCAAACGTCTCTGCACAGCAAACCAACTCATGCTCCGTAATTAAGTAGCTCTCCGTGTTTATCCCGGCGTGCACAGATGACAAATTTTCTGATGGAAATTCCCACTGGTGCTCCATTATGCAGATTGGATAACACCTCTTTGCGAAAGAAAGTGGTTCGCCAAAAGCCCAAGTGCACCGTCACAAAATGTTGCACTTTTTTCCACTCCTCCTCTCCTCTCCTCTGGTGGAACACGTGCATATAATTTCGGTAAAATTGGTGTGTGTGTTTGTAAATGACAACCGCCGGGTTAAAATAAAGTGTGGCGGCGGCAACGAGCATCTCCCACCTTGCAGTGCCGTCGATGGTTATAAGACGCGGGTTGAAAAAAGTGTGTTAACTCGTGGTGTGCGTTCGTTCACTTTCACTCCCAAGCCAAGCAGGTACAGCGCGCTCGCCTGCAAGCGCCGCCGATTGATAGATCGCGTCCATCTGCGTCCCTGCTGCCTTCCACAGTGCGTCCCAAAAATGCCTCCCTCGTCCTGCCTGCTCGTCCTGCTCGCCCTTGCGGCCACCACCCTCGCCCTGCCGGCCACCTCTGAAAAGAAATTGACTATTGTCAAGACACTGCGTGAGTAAATTCAAAATTGGTCAAAGAATTAAAAAAAAGTTCGGGCAGAATAAATTTGGATGCAAAGAAATAATTTCATTAAAATGGAAATTTTGAAAATCATACAAATTTTGATACTTTTAGAGAGGAAAAAATAATGGTCACATTTTCTAAAAGAAAAAAAAACTTGATTAAATATTTCTGAAATTTATTTAATGGAAATTTACAATTGAGAAAAAAATCCTTAAAATTTGGTTGACGACCTTTTTTAAACAAAAAAATGTTTTCGGAGTTATGCTTGTTTTTAAAATTAAAGAAGAAAATATTTAACAATTCCATTCTTTTTTCTTCATTCGTAGCTGAAAAATCTAGTGAATGAATGGATACAAGTTATGTCACACCCACAAGCAATAGAAACGGAAGAGTGTGTTTGCAGAAAGTGGTCGGCAAAATTTCTTTTCGCCGAATCGTGTCTCTCGGTCAAACATACATAACGTATATTTGCCTTGAATTAGATGCATTCGACTAATAGACGAGACAACAAACATCCTTGTTTTGTGCTCTCTCGTAGCACAGAGCGTGCCACTTTCAGCGCCGGGGACGGGTTTCATGCATTATTATTATTGTATAAGAGTCATGTATGTGTATATATATATTCCGGTGTGTTTCTTATTCTTACATAACGCCCGGCTTTATGGTGCACGCTGTGGACGGACTGGCTGCTGCACTCGTAGAGTCAGGTGCAGCACGACTGTGGCAATAACGAGAATTGCAAATAAACGTATAAGTACTCTCACTTTCCACCAACATTCCTGCTCTGAAAATAAACTACGATCTCGCGCGAGAATAGAACCAATGTACGCTCAAAATCAATACATTATAAGCACGGCTGCTCTGTGAAGAATTGACTGAGGTGCTGATTGGAAATTGAGTTAATTTGCTCTCGGCTGCCAGTTAGAAAATAAATGGACTGCGTGAAATTTCATTGCGCAGCTTCTGTAAATGGCATTTTTCTAATTGTTAAATAAAGCGTTAAAAAAATTATTTTGCTATTAATTCCCATAGAATATTTTGATAAATTTGATGAAAAACAAAATTTGACAAAAATATTTAATATTTGTTGCATTAAATGAGACACAAATTATATTTGTTTAAACGTTATTTAAACATAATTAATTGTCACTGATTTTTAATTTTTTTCCATAAAACTGCTATCAAGTGATTCATTTTACATGAATATTATTTATTTATTTTTAAATCGTAATTTTGGAAGCAGAAATTCTGTCGATGAAAGCATTAATTCAATATGATTATTATGTTAGATATTTCTGAGGAAAGTGAAGAAACGCATCTATAATTATTGAGACCCAGAAAACCTCGAAACAAAATAATTACGCACTTGATCAATCAGAAATTTGTATTTGCGGCAAAAGTGAAATTGTGACCGACACGCTTGAAATGCAGCGCCCATATTTTTTTTTAATAATAATCCTTTTCTGGGCTCCGACACTTAAATTACAGGTCTGTCAGCCTTGAACCGACTCGTAGTTTGTGTTGCAGTGAAAAGTTCATTCAGGCTCTATAATTCACGACTGCAGTGGCTGGTCAACAAAAAGTCAAGGGCTTTGCCGAAATCGGAATCTCATTTCACAAATCAAGCTTATTAATGGATCGTGTGACACATTTTTCGGTGAGAAAAAATATAAATAAACCAAAGTGGTTGCGTTCCACTTTGCCTTATGCACCGTATTCCTCCCTGCATCTCTCAGCTGCAAGGTCAGGCGAAATAACGCCGGCCACAAATGGCAGCTGAAATAAAACTCACTCAGGTGCCCAAGCAGGTTTACTTATTTATAATTTTAAAAAAGGAGGCGAAGACGTCCATTCGAACCAAGCTCGCATCGTGTAGGTAAATTGACGTTAATTTTTCAAGAATTCAACCTTGAATTGTTTGAACAAGTAACGCAGAATTAATCTTTACGTTCATATTTAATTTAATGCCTCAAAGCTGAAAGGCCATTTTAAATATAAATTTAATGAATAATGCATTGTTGCTATTTTTTAATTATTTTTTTAGGAGAAAAATAATATTTGTTATGAATAATTTTGGCTTCTTATTTTAAAGCAGTATGAATAAAACAAAATATTTGAATTTGAAGTTTACGCTTTTGTAAAATTCTCATCTTTATGGATTCAAATAAAATTTTAAAATTCAAAAATATTTTCATTGTGAATTACAATTTCAGGGGAGGTGCCTTTGTGTTGGATTAAATTTTAAAAAGTATATTTTTAAGGATTTATTTTGTTTTGTTCAAAGATCACTTTTCAAATTTATGTTTATGTGAACCAATACCAATAGATAAAATGTAAAATATTTTCACTTAAAACCTTAAGACTCAATCAGCTGTTTAACAGAATAAGTGCAATTATTTTAGCTTTTATTAATAATAAACATCCTCACAATAGTCACCCAAGAAGTCAAATACCATTATTTCAATGTACCTAACCACACTCTTCAATTCTCAATGAACATTTCATAGTCAAAGTCAAAGCAAGGTGCAAATGATGTATTTAAGATAAAATAATATTTGAGCATGTTACACGTTATGAAAATGAGAGTTGCCAAACGAATTTTCACGGCAATTGACCCACATTCGTTTCTGTGGCAAAGGAAATTGAGAATCCCCAAAAGCGCAAATTACTAATCACTTACGTGCATGTTACTCAAACTTTGCAAATAACCACCAACTTGACCGCAGCGATATTTCCATTTCTCTTTCATCAGAGGTGACGGGTGGATAAAAAAAATCAACTCTTGAATGAATTGCCAGACATAACAAGCATTGTTTGACTGCACTTGTGAGTGTATAATATGTTGTTGACACATCTATAATAAAAGTATAGATTGCGCAATTTTGTGCAAGTCATGATGCTGGCCTACTTCAGCTCCTCAAAATCGAATTACATTAAAGTACATGAATTGGGCGGGTGAATTGCTCCATCTGCAGTTAGTGTTACGTGAAGTGATCTGCTAATTTTCGCCGCGTGTCATGCGAGTGTTGAGAGGAGCTTGCCGGCTTTCTTTATTTGACCGCAAACTCATCTTAATTGAGAGGTATCGCGTATTGTTTGAGTTGAATTGGACAGAAAGTTGCATCCAAGGTTATGTGGCGTTTTTTGTCAGAGAAATTTTGCAATAGCCCGTCGATGGGATATTTTTTTGTCTCGACGGGTTTTGAGTGCAAGTTCAAGTTCGTTATTTGTTGCCTGGTCCAGAGGCAGACTCTCTCTTGGGCAATTTACGCGTTTGTTTGCCTCTATTATAGGCTCTCGACTTTTCTCGTTGATACTTACGCGTGACTAATAATAATGCAACATTGCGACACCTCCACTTTTCTTGCAAGAGCTCGATGATTTCAATATAGCTCATTTTTAATTGTGGCCAAAAAGTTAATTTTCAAATTATCTTTAATGGCCATTGTTCTATATTTACAGATTTAATAATTATACCCAATTTGTTGACAAATTCTGAAATCTGTGGATTATTACAAATTGTTGCAAAATAAGATCTATATAATATGTGCCTTTCAAATAGTAAATTACTTGTTAGCAATCAAAAACTTTACTCTCGTCCTGGCTTAATTATTATTTTATTTTTATTTTGCCATCATAATTGTTTTTTTTATCATCTGTGCTTCAATTTATCTGTATTGAATAGTGAAATCAGGTCTTTACACAATGGTTGTTAAAAGTTCCAATTGCTTTCTAGCAATTATATAAAAAAAATGGCTCCTATTGTTGTAAAAATTTAAATTGAACATGTCAATTAGAGTTTTGAGACAGTTGTTGAAGGAATTTGCATTTTATATTTGCACTTACGATTTTTAAATCATTATTATTATTTTGTTAATTATATTGGTCTTTCACAAAATTTAAGGGAATTATTATTCAAATTCCGAAACATAAAAATGCAAAAAAAAAATTGAAACCCCGCAATTTTCATAAGTATATATGCAACCGGAGCATCGGGTGTATCATCGCGAGAGAGTTGAAGACGTAACTTATTATACAACTGCCGGTGAATCACGTTCTGGATTTTACAGTCCGTGCCAGCATCATCAGGTAGCACTCCATTAAATGGGAACTGCTCTCGCGATGAGCCGGTGTCCGTTTGTATTAGCCGGCTAGCTCGAGTGGTCATGGTTATATTATGATTATATTGTTGACTTCCTCGAGAGAGAAAGCCGGCGGCGGCGGCCACCGCACACACTGCAGCGGAGCTTGTTAGATGCAGAGCTTTCTCTCGCACCATCTTACGTCACCGTCCGAGACGGCTGCGACGAGACCCAGTGGCCTTTTGGCCGCCGGAAGAAGCGCCTGATTAATTTGCCAGACTCAAACCCGTTTCGTGAATTAGGAAACGCACACTTTTCCGTGTTTAATAAGGGGGAAAAAGCAACGAAAATGTGAGAATTTTCAAATATCTATTATATGGGATTTCAGGCGTTGAAGTCTCCCAAATATTTGTCCTCTTTTTAATTCTAACATTTTTAATTCTTATTGGCATTAGCAATTTACAACTAGAGCTAGATTTTTAACAGCTAAACTGGCTTTCTAAGAAAATTATTGCGCGATGAAGTTTCAGTATGTGCTCGTCTTCTTCCTATTGAGTAACGGAACGACATTTAATCACATCTAAATTGGGGCCACTGTAACACAATATTCATACAAAGTGTATAATTTACATTCAGCTCTCGGTTTCTTTTCAACTTAGAAAGAGGAGGGATAGTGCAGTACCATGAATCGAATGAGCGCGCGCGTATACTACGGAATTTGAATCACGTAACACCGGTTATGTCGGTGTTATACAATCGGGAAATACTCTGGATTAGCAATAGTGCCGCGGAGTTGAGGCATAAAATTCAGAAATGAGATCATTTAATAAAGCGAGTTTAAATTATACACTCGGCAGATAGCAATTGTAGCTTACGAATCAATCCACAATTTAATTTGTTTATGTGTGTTGTTTTAATACATAACAAATAAAATAAATATATTGATCAAAATTTTACTTCAATCAATTTAAATTTACTGTGTTAATACTAAAAGTAATGTTTGGATAAAATTTACTTTAAAATTCATATTAATTTTCTTTATCTTATTTTAATTTACTTAATAAAAATTACTCAATATTATAAAATCTAATCAAAAGTTTAATTTGTTTAATTTTTTGTATAAAAAAACAAATTCTGATGCTTTCTGTAATTATTCCTGGGTGTTTCAAATAACCCACAGGAGCGTAAAATTGGTAGCGTGCTTGCTTAAGGAAATGATTAATTTGCTAACAGTCATCAAGCATTTAGCGGTGGTTGAGCGTCTTTGCGGAAGACGCACTCATTTTCACGGTACAAAAGTTAGGAAAGTGGCAGCGTTTTGTCATCGCTGCTCGCTCTAGATGTACTCCTTTTGAAACCGACAAAAAGCACGCCATTGGTGAATAAATAAATCATAAATTTTGCGCCGATTTATTCTCTTGAATGGATAAGAGATAGGTTTCACGCTCGACTTGCGCACCGAGCCGGTTGCATAATCGCCGCACTCCACTTCCAAGAAAATGATAAAATATTGTTCCGCTAGAGACGCACGAATGGGTTTTAATGTAATTTGTCCTGATTGTTGCAGCCGAATACATCATTCCATGCACGAAAACCGACCCTGAGGTAAACAACTGTATTAAGAACACCTTCAACCACCTTAGGAAATATCTCCAGAGAGGTAAGTTCATAATATATATAATTTTTGTGCAACCATAATTGCAATCTAATGAAAACAAACAGATCTTTAGCATTAAATTTCGTCACGAGGAAGTTTTTGTACCTCTCTGATGCCATGTTTGTCTGTGAGTGAGAAAAGTAGCGCACCCGTGAAGAGCACACGTGACCTATATTTTCGCATCTCTTTCTTTCCTAAGGCCAAGGACACGCTACTTTCACTTTCTTCGAAAATTTCTATTACGTGTGTCCTGATCGCAACCTTGAACCTCTTCTTCCGATAAGTCTCTCAAAAAAATTTCCCCAACATTTTAGGCATTCCCGAGTTGAACATGGACCCTCTGGACCCGCTGCGGCTGGACCAGTTGTTGATGGAGAACGGCGTCGGCAACGTGCGAGTGCGCGCCCTGTTCAACAACATGACGGTGCTCGGCGCCGGCAACTACACGGTCATCACTGTCAAGTAATGAAATGTCAAGATTTTCGCGCCCAAACCGGTTGGCCGCGGCTGCTCATTCTCATACATTTTTATTGCATGCGCGCCATAAAGTCAATGTCAATTTTCGCCATCTTTCACTTTAAACTCGCGTACACCGGCCTGCCTTGTGCTTTTTTGAATCTTCGAATTTCAAGGACAGTCGGTCTGGTGAAATAATATGTATTAAACGGGCGTGATTCACTCTCGTAAACAAACTTGACCGTAAACTCGTTATACCAAATAAAACGACCATTGCAAAATTTTCAGGAGCGACCTGAGCAAGCTCAGAATAGATTTGGGTATGCGCCTCCCGCGGCTCTCCGCCATGGGTCACTACGAGGTCACTGGCCAAGTTCTTCTGTTCCCCGTCAGAAGTCGAGGCGATTTCTGGGCAACTTTCAGTAAGTTTTTAGAATTAAATTTTATTTCAATTAAAATTTGAATGAATTTAAATAAAAAGACGAATAAGAAAAAATTGTACTAGAAAATTAAATTTAAATTATTTTCTTTTGTCAATTTAACATCAAGATCAAAATTCCCTTCTCCTCCCCTAGTCCAAAAGAACGGGATTAATGAGGGCAATCCGAAAGCCAAAGGCAATTTGAAAGGCGTGTTACATTATTCTTATTGTTAGCAAGATTACGTTCTTTTTTCATTGCTTATAATATACTTTTAACATACATCTGTGCACACTGGAAATTTTTATAACAGAAATTATCATCTAATTTTAATTAAAAATATCATTTTCAAACATTATATAAATATTAATGTTATTATTAAATATATTCATTTTTAAGTTAAAATAATTTAGCAATATAATTTTAAGTGCAAAAAAATGTTGATATGATTAAATATTTTGCAAAGTTATATTATTCACAAGAACGAAAATGGCTATGCAAAAAAAAATTGTTTGTAACGAATTTGAATTTCTTATTTATTCTTATTTAAAACATTTTTCGCCCTCAATAGTGAAGACAGATGGTCCAAATCTTTCAAATCGCTGAACTTTTAAATTTTGTGGATTTTACGATTTTATTTTCTCAACTGATAATGGTCAAAAAATTTTTTACTTTATTTTAAATAAATAAATGTCACAGGTTGAAAATAAGCAACCTTTCTACTTAAATTATGAAATCCAATAGGTCTGGTGTCCGTACAAGTAAAATTCATTTCCATATAATATTTGTAATTAATTTCAGATGACATCACTGCTGTGGTTTCTGTGTATGGCCGCAACGTCACAAGAAGTGGAGAGCATTTCATGTCGATCGAAAAGCTGGGCATTGATTTCCATCTGGGAGGAAAGTCGCGATTCCGCATTAAGGACGTCGTCAATGGAAACACTGTGATTGGTAATTAAGCATGTCAATTTAAAGAATAAGTATTTTAAATCAATGATTATAATGACAAATCAAATTTTCTGAACCAAAGGAAAAAATTAAAAATTTGTTTTATTTAGGTGAGGCTATGAATCACTTCTTGAACGAGAACTCCAACGAGATCATTGACGAAATGAAGCCGGCGGCCGGCGCAAGTATTGGCAAACACTTCAAGTCCTTCCTCAACCAGGCCTTCCTGCAAATTCCACTGCGTTTGTGGATGAGAGACTCCGACGGCGACGAGTAAATTATTTATGCACACGCGAACTTTTATACAACTCTCTGCAGCAATTTCCGTGATCTGATCTCTAGTTTGAGTGGACGTAAGGCCTTTAGGTGAAAGGTTAAAGTGAAAATTTCGGTGAAAGATCGCTTTTTCATTTCCTCAACTTGTTATTGGTTCAACTAAAAGTAATCTGACGACTTGGTTTTAAACAAAAATATTGGACCGTTCTTTTTACAAAATCTTACTGTAATTTTAGACCTTGTGCATTTTAGAATATTATCACACTTGAGTGTCCATGAAAGAGTTGTAATTTGAGGAAAAAGTTGTAAATAATGTACATAATCAACTTGCGTAGCTTTTCTACTTTGACTAAAACTTCCTTTGTTAACTGTAATTTAATGTTAAATGTAAGAAGTGACTTTTAAATATAAGGCTATAATTATTAAATGAAAAACGCTTATTTTTTGTATTCAAACCACTATTATTCGTTTAGGGCGGAGACGCCAAAATAGATAAAAGGTTCATGGCATTTTATAGATTATAGTTCAGATCGTTCTAATCATAAAATGGGGACGATTCGCAAATAAAGCGTGTCTCAATGCATTTTGTGATACAAAGATAAATTTTTTTGAAGGCTTCATTAATTTTTATCAGCAAAAAAGAGCGGCGTGCTAAGGCATTGCCAGAATGCAAAAATTAGGCCAGTAGAGCAGTGTGCCAATCCACGACGCATTCGTTGATTGACACTTCCAGCCCAAGGAAAAGTAAAAGATAATAATTGGTAACTTAATTTGCATTGCATAATTTCAAATGAAGTATATTAAAAACATATCATACAACAATTGGAGTATATTTATCAAGTTAAATAAAAAGTCTATGATATAACTATATACATTCAAGTACCTTTATAAGTCCAAGTTCAAATCAATTATTACCATAAGTTTGAAAGTTTCAAAGCTAATTTTAACAAATATTTTTTTTTTCGATATAAATTTTAAAATTTTTTTTAATGCCTTAAAATTTGAAACACAATGATTTTCCTCATTTTTTTTTAATTGTAAATAAGAACAAAATTTATTATAAAATTTTTGAATCGTGTGTGAAAAATTTTCCCTGAAACAATAAAAGGTTTTTTTATATTATTAGCTCCATTTCATCTGATAATTTGTTTTACATTTAGATAACATTGTGAGAATCTTAATAGCCTATTAATTTTTGTACTTTTATTAAATTGTCCCTTTTTGTGGAGGTTCGCGCTGTCCGAACGGCGCGCAGCGTGGTCTGGAAGAGCAACCTTTGACCCGGCGGTGGCCTTTGGCTAAGGCTATAAGACGTTCATTCTGCCCCGCAAGCGTCAGTCATTTGATTGTCTGTCGCCTACAAGAGCACCAAAATAAGACGCCTTCGAGTTTGATCCAGTGCTGGGACAGATTTTACTGGAATCGCGTACGACAAAGCAAACTGTGTGGCAATCGGTCCCATCTAACTTCCGAGCGAGACTATAAAGGGCCTCAATTGCCGGAGCGGACTAGAGGGAAGAAGCCGATAAAGGATGGTGGCCAAATTCTCCAGGAGACAATGGCTCACGCTTATGGTGTTTGGTATCGCCAATTTTTGCAATGCGATTTGCGTCTCGCTTCAAGCACCGTTTTATCCGATGGAGGTACAGTAGTTTTACTCTCTAATAAAATTTTACTTCATGATTTTAATTTTTTTTCTTTAATATGTTTTTTTTTTATGATAAAGTTTATTATTGAACTTAGCCTGCATACTAATTTTTGCTGTAAGGAAATTTTTTAATTATCAAATTTAGCAATGTTTAAAAATTTAATACTTCAATAAAACTTCCTTCAAAAAAAGAGTACATAAAAATTATCCAGTATGATGTTTAAAATTTTTAATTTGCTAAATTAAATTTTTCGGAATAAGTGCTGAACGCAGTCTGATTTGCAGTGAAATCTTATCATCGTCAAATAAATAAATTAAAAGAAAAAATATTATTAAAAAAAACTCTGGGTTCAGCGATAATGAGACTCATTAGTTAAAACTAGGTTACTGAGATAAATCGACTGCTGAGCTGACATAGTTCAAAGATATTCTAGAATGATATTTTATTTTGGGGTTTTTCGAACAATTGATCATACAAAAAAGACGAGACACGCGCTCTCTGTGTTTGCCGATGCAGGCCACAGGTCGTGTGGTTGAGCAATGCATGTTTCAATAAAATCTCTATACAATGCATTTATTTTGTATTCCATAAATTTCGTAATTTGTCCATTTGCAGCCAAAAAGCTGTCAAAAAATTCTGATTACAATCAACATAATTGATCACTTAGATAACCTTTGCATTTAAACTGACTCATTTTTCTCCATTCACAAGTCAAATACGATTAATAGCTGGTACAAAAGGTTGTCCAAACGCAGAGAACGCAGTTTTCGCTTTGTGAGTCAACGAACCCGGTCGACATTGACCTTTGTTATTTTATATTTTGCGCGTCGTAGTACAAATTCATTGTTGTAGAAATGAGTGTTTAGTAGCCAAGAAAGTTTATTTATAAATCACAGCAAAGGCACTACTGATAAAGAGATGCTTCTTAGCGCAAGTGTTAAATTTAAAAAAAGAGAGAGATAAATAAAGATTAAAATTTAGTTAAAAGATGTTCGTGTTTAATTGAAAATTGACATTTCAAAATTTTTTGCCAAAAATAGGCTGAGAGGAAAGGAGCTACTGCGACGGAATACGGCTTGGTGTTTGGCGTCTTTGAACTCGTTGTCTTCCTTATCAGCCCCATTTATGGCAGACACGTGAGTATCACTTGTGTTCTCGCATTTTACTATAATCGCGCTCACTCAATGTCAAATTTTATGGCTTTCTGTGACGACAAAAATTTTCATTCAGTCTTTCTCGACCAAGGTCAGATGTGCTATCAGTATGATTTTTTATGTCGCCTTCTAATGAGTGCATTAGCCCACTTTCTAAGAAAATTCTCAAAATTTTATTTGAACTTTAAGTTAATTGGGGCCATTAAATTTCACTTGCTCAACAAAGTGCAGCGAATGCGTTAATTTGCGTCGTCATTTATTAATTTTTGCGTCACGCCACGAGAGCAGTACTTATAAACTTCACAGCAAGTTGACCCCGCCAGCCAACCTTTGACACCGCATTTAATTAAAAATTGAGAATTAAATTCAATAAATCGCACTTCACTTATCTATCACATCCTCTTGATATAATTATATTTTCCAGTTGAACCGAATCGGTCCGAAATATTTATTCAACGGAGGAATATTTACTGTCGGCACATGTGCAATTCTCTTTGGGTAGGTCTCCGAATAGCAAATAAATAGTACAAATTTTAAGAAATAATTAAATTTTTAGTCTCCTAGACCGAGTGGAGGGTCACTACCCTTTCATCGTGCTCTCCTTTGTAATAAGAATAGTTGAAGCGCTGGGCAACGCGGCCTTCTTGACCGCCTCATTCGCGATCATTGCAAAAGAGTTTCCCGACAACGTCGCCACAACCTTTGTAAGAAATATCCACATTCTATTTCATCCTTGTTTGTGAGAGAGGAAAAAATTATTCAAACAGGCTTCACTGGAGACGTTTTTCGGCCTGGGACTCATTACGGGTCCGACGGTCGGTGGAGCCCTGTATCAGGTCGGGGGCTACACAACCCCTTTCGCCGTGATGGGCTCGGCGCTTTTCCTCTCCGCAGTCATGACTGCGCTCGTCCTTCCCGACCACGGAGACTCGGACATTGACGCTAAAACCGGACGTAAGAGAGAAATACAAATTATAAAATATTAATCAATGTAATAATTTATATTTGTAATTAGCAAGCATGTTGGCTGTGCTGAAAATTCCCGGCGTGCTGTTGGCCGCGTGCAGCATTGTCGCCACTTCGATCAGTATAGGTTTTCTGCAGGCCACTCTGGAGCCACACTTGCGACAAGTGAGTTTTTTAGGGGGGGGGGGGGTTTGCAGGAAACTTAGAAATTAAATTTTGTACTTAATCAATTAAATTTGTTTATATTTTTTTTTTATTTTTTTTTTTTTATAGTTTGAATTGTCACCCGTGGTTTTGGGTTTGATGTTTGTCGTCAACGGTGGCACCTACGCCCTGACGGCACCATGCTTTGGTTGGCTGTGCGATCGTTACGTGGACCCCAAAGTTATCACCGTCTTCGGAAGCCTTCTAGTCATTTTCGGCTTCTCGCTAATCGGCCCGGCGCCGTACTTGCCCTTTGACACGTAAACAAAGCAGATTCCAAGTGAAATTAAATGCGAAACGCTATATTTCTCTTCTTTTGTTTGCAGTTTGCTGTCGGTCAGTATTGTTGGTCTTGTGAGTCACGGACTGGGTATGGCCGCGCAATTAGTCGCATCATTCACTGACGCCTTGCGAACAGCATTGTAAGTAGAAAAAAATAGCCATAATTTAAATAAAATAATTACTTTTTACTTAGTTCTAGAATAATTTTTTAAATTATTAAATCGATTTAAATTAATACTATTCATTTTTATTTTTAAATTTGAAAAGAATTAAATTTTAATTTCTCTGTAAAATTATTTGCAGCGAGCACGGTTACCCAAACAACTTGGAGACGTACGGTCTCATTTCTGGCCTTTGGACCTCAACTTTTGCACTCGGCGCCTGCATCGGTCCCTCGATAGCCGGTTGCCTTTTTGACAGCGTTGGATTTCGCCACTCGACGACTTTTGTTGTCGGCTCCCATGTTTTAGTGGTACTATTTCTCCTAATTAAAAAAAATAATTGTCTCACAAAATAACAATTAAAGGGAATAGCCGTGACCGTGTTTTTGGTGTTCGGACGTCAGCGCGGCCCGTACAAAGATATGGACGACTCTTTAAGCACAGACAACACTTCCGACACCCTGGTGATTGAAAGCACTGACCTGAGCAACAGCTACTGCCGCAGTGGAAAGCACAGGAGAAAAACTCTGGCCGGCAGCATCTCCATTGAGAGGCCACCAGGAATGATCAACGGACTCAGCGTGTGCAGCAGTTACAAAAATAAGTAATGACGAAACGATAGGGGAAAAAATCACTTATTTAATTTAATTCAAAATTTTTCCAGATACGGAACTTGGCAGAGGGAAGATGGTTCGTCAGTGCTGATCGGTCCATACAGCTCAAGCTACGGAAGCATCGAGCTGGGAGGTCGGGCGCCGCTGCTCACGTCAGACACCAGAGCAGCCTAATCTCCACATTTTCCTCACTCCATGCCAATCATCATAATTCATTTTAGGAACAATAGACTGTGTAATGAATAATTTTCAAATTTCACATAATTTTAAAAAGGCCGTTGTCTTAATTTTAATCAGCAAACACACTACGTCAAAGCGGCATCTTCCTAGTTTCGATAATTATGATTAATTTAGCTTTAATTCTTCACTTTTTATTTTAATGCATTTTTATGGGTAGTTGTCATTGACGCCGTGCTGAATTCATAATAAAGTTTGTATAAAACTGAAATGATGATTTTCATAAATGTGACATCCGTTTCGCAATGAAAAAATCTTGGTCAAGATATATAAAAACTGATTTTTCCTTATCGCTTACAAAAAGCTTAGCAAAAGCCAATGTTGAACTGCAAATCACCGTTACAAAACTGATTTAATTTTTTTGGTATTTTCTGCATTGCGCATTTTATCAAAATTAAAATACGGTCCATGATTTCATTGAAAACTTAATATAAAATATATTATATTTCGTTCATCTTATAAAAAAAAATACATGAGGAACCATTAGAGAAATAACACAGCTTGATGCAGTCGTTGAGGAAATCAGACTATGGGCACTCTCGGACATTCCCTTACACTTCTTCGGGAAGGAGCTGCTCCAGAGGGAAGAGGTTAAACACCTGAACGACGATTCCGTGGATCACTTCGGCGATCGTGTCTTCCAGCACGGGCTTGATCTCACGCACAATGTCCTTCCAGTTCTCGTTGAAGAATCGGTTGGTCGTGTCGCCTGAACAGGAAGAAAAATTATTATTTCTGATCAACACAGCGTGACTTATAATTGATTGGCTGTGCGTGGAAAACTGGTTTGACTGAGGTGCTTACCGAGCTGCTTGTTGCCGTTGAAAAGGTTGTCAAAGTACATGGAGGCGCCTCCAATTTCGAGATCAACTTTGCGGTCCTTCAGCGACACGTAGGTCAGCCCCTTTCGCTTCTCTTCGTTGCCACTCAGAACAACGTGGGCCTCAACGTTAGCTAAAAAATTCAATTTATTTTAAAATTCAGAACAATTGTGCCAGAAACAGTTTTTAACATTAAATTTAATACAATTTTCTTAATATTAATTACTTGATCATATTGTTTTTCTTACTATTTTTATTTTTACAATTAAATCCTGTAAAGAATTCAGGAAATTCGTAAATAACTGAGGGTATTTACTTTTTTTATTATGTAATAAATGTAAAACGCAATTTAAAAAGGCTAAAACTCACTGAAATTTCCGTCGCTCCTTCCGCTTCCCTGGACAGGCACAACCAAAATCCTTCCGTCAACTTCGTAGTTGGACTCGATACGCAGTGTGGGGAAGAAAAGTCTCAGGGTGACGACAAGATTTTTCAGATCAACATCAACGTCTCTGACAATTACGTCTTTGGCACCAGACGTCTTCATGTTGTTGAAGATGGACTTGAAACTGACAGGTCCCTCGCCCTGAGTAAGGCTCACTTGAGGGATGAATAGAGGGTCGTAGGGAGGGATACGGAACTCGGGGATGCCCTTTGCCAGGTAAGGTCGCAACTTGTCGACGGAATCCACAAGGCATTTGTTCAGTTCGGGGTCGTTTCTACTGCAGATTTTCACATATTTCGCTGCAAAATAAAACCATTTTAATGAAAATTAATTTAAAATATCTGGAGGTGTATTTAGATTTGCTGATAAACTCAATTTGCCACTAAAAATAAAACGAAAAACACTTTAATTATTAAAAAGCAATATTTTTTTATAAATAAAACCGTGAAGATATTTGTGAAAAAATCGGTCTAAAAATAATTAACTTACGGATATTTCTGGCACCGACCGCGGCCAGCAGGCAAGCGAGCGCAATTAAGGTGGTCTGCAGCTTCATCGCGGAGTGCACGCGCAAAGAGCGAAATTACTGAACGATGTAGCCGAGACCTTACGTACTTTTATATGCCCCCCGCCCTGCTTGGGGCAGGAAGAAGTCATAATACTAGCAAAGGTCATCATGCAAGTCCATCTCGGGGATCGTTCAGTCGAGAAAATAATATATAATTCCTATTATTCTCACCGACGCGAGCTCCTGTGCGTGACGCAATAAAGCGTATCACAATTAGTTGTACTTGTAAAGGTATTTTAGTTTTTGTTAAAAAAAATTACAGATCAAATCACTCATTTAAATTATAAAATTAATTATTTAAATTAAAATCTACATAGTTAAACACTTATAATAAAATTTGTAATTTAAACCTAAAATTTAATTAATTAATTTTACTAGTGGAAATGCGTGTTAAATATCAATAAATATCATAGGGTGAGCAATTAAATTAGTTTTTTTTTTTTTATTAGGACACCTTGAGATATTTAATGAATCTAAGTGAATCACTCTTTCTTTACATCAATGCTTGAATGCTGTTTTAATGGTGCGAGAGAAATAAAATCCCAAGTGCAATTTTATTGTCATTGTTGATGATTGTTTTACGCTTTCAATCAGTAAAAGCGGCTCCCGTGTTCGATGGTGGCTGAGATTTTCCAGCGTCGCAGCCACTCGCCTTCACCTACATAATGCATCTGGTCGCCGTAAACTTGATCTGCCTTTTATTCTTTGGCGCACCTTTAATGTGTGAAACGAGCCGCACCGGCAGACGTATACAACAATAATCAACAATTTACACGAAAATTAATTGCATTTGGCCTTGGTTAAAGAGTTCTTTTGTTAAAAAAATGTTTATTTATAGAAACTATTGACCGCAAACTATTAAATAAATTGGTTTGTAAATTAATCTTTCATTTTCCTTAATATTTTTTTTATTCTTATCTAATTAAATCTCCGTTGCATTTTCTCAAATTATAATCAATTAGAAGCAGAGTTCTTATTTGGGGAATATTTAAATGTCTTTGTGTAAATTTTCAGATTTTTACAAATAAGCACTAAATGTAATATGCATACCTAAATAAAAATTTGATGATGTAACAATTTGGACAAATAAACAACAATAATAATAATAATTAATTTGCTAAAGTTTAAAATTTTTTTCCCCACTCAAAAGACTTTATTTTTAATTATTGTATTTACCAAGATATGAACATTTATCTTGTGATTAATACGCTTTTAACAAATATATCTAAGCTTGCATAGATATATAGAAATTGTTCATTGATATGATATTAATTGAATCAAAATTTACAACTCAAGGTTTGTTTCCGTTTTGCTTCCATTATAATATGACTGACAAATAATACATAAGTATAGGAAGTACAGGAAGACTTAGCAGCTTGAAGGTGTAGCCTTCGCATTAGATCAGACGTGAGAGAAGTGGAAGAATCACTTTTTTTCTCGTCAAGCAGGAAACTAATTACATCCATATTGTCACATCGCAGATGAGGTGGTAAATACAATCCTAATTGACCTCTACTTTATTGATTTTCTTTGAATTTATAATCCAAAATTGAAACAATATAATGGTGTGGTTTTTTATTGAATTAAAATAATTTATTTACTAAACATACAACATCCAGTCAATTTATTTTTGCATATTTTTTTACTAAATTAAATTTACAAAAAAATAAACAAATAAGTTTCAATAATGAACTTGTTTCAATTATATTTAATAAATTAAATTCGAGTCGTTTATTCTGGGACGAGATCATCATATGGCACAGATTGGAGGACGCGGTTGGCGATGCCAGTGAAAAGTTCGTTGACCGTGTCTTCGATAATAGGCTTGATTAGCTCCAAAACTTGGGCCTTGTTGTCGTTGATAAATTGAGTGCTCGCCGAATCTAAAAATAGATTTTTGACATTAGTAATAAATCAAACATCCGTATCCAAGTTCACTGCCAACAAAAGCCATAAATTTTGCTTATCATTAATTTTTATTATTTTTTTTTATCGCAATTCATTTATGCAACTTACTTATCGGATTCTGTCTCATTGACCTGCCGGATGGCTCAAGGAATTTAAGCTTAGAGTCTCCAACTTTAACGTCAGACCTGAACGTGTCAATTATCAGGTACTTCTTGTTCTTTCGCTCAGTCATTTTTCCAGTCACAACCAAATTGGCAGTCACTTGCTCTGCAAAGGATGGAAATTTTTATTTTCATAGAGTATTTTTTTCTCTCAATTGCAAAATAAATAAATTGTTTTATAAAACGACGCAATTTGCGATTTGCTTGTTGCTTTTTTCTTTATTGCAATTAATTTAAATTGCGCTCATCCTTACTGAAGGTTCCTTCGAGGACGCCTTTTCCAGTCAGAGGCACGACAAGGAGGCGACCATTGACGTCATAATTGGTCACTACCTGCAGCTCAGGCAGAGTCACTTTCGCCTTCAAACTCAAATCATCAAAGTTTGATCTGGAAATTAAAAATAGCGGTTAAAAAATAATTGATGTGTCAATTTGAGGTATTTATTTAATCAACGTTTCAGATAATTTCTGCTTTACTTTATATCATTGATGATGAATTTGCTTGCTCCCGCAACTTTGAGATTTTCCAAGGAGGCGCTGATATCCAAAGCGTCGGTTTTCCTGTCAATATGCAAAGCAGGAATGACCAAGGGCTCATAGCCAGGAACTTGAAGGGGAGGAATGCCTGTTAAAAAAATATATTTATAATGCATTTTCAAAACATTTAATTTTTTGGATTGTCGGACGTAATTTTTTATTACGTTTTTAAGTAAAATGAATAAATTACCTCTTCCGAGACGTGTCCTCAAACTCTCAATGGAATTTACCATGCATTCGTCAAATTTCGGGTCTGACCTGTGACACTTTTGAATGTAGTCGGCTGCAATAAAAAGAGAAAATGCTTTATTACCAGCCAGTTTCATACTCATGCAAATGAGACTTTATTTAAATTCTAGTCTTGCATTGAATAATCACAGGCTCATAAGAGCCTAATGGCATAGGTGTGCGAGCAAAAATATTGCAGCGACCAGCAATAGAGTTAAACGCACACTTATCCAAGAGCCATCACTTGAGAGAGCAAGAGTGACCCAGTATTTGTAATAGCTGCAGCTACTTATGCTCATTAGAAAATTGCTATTTATTGTTTATGGTAGGCAGGCTTGAGAGGGAAGAAGCAGAGCGGCTCTTTTCTTTCCTCTTTAGCACTGCCAAAAAGTAAAAGTGTCGCGCACATGGTGAACCACTTTTACTTTCTTGACACCAAAACAGAAAAAAATATTAACCATATACCAATGAATTGGTATTGATTTCAAAACAAATGAATATAAAAATTATATTTTTATCTATTTCAATGAGATGCTAATCATAAAAAAAATCAGTTGCCGTAAAAGAAAAAAGAAATCATATGAAGTTTTTTCCTTACAATTCAACCAATAAAAACCCTGACTGAGAAATTTCTTTATAATTTTTAATTAATTTTAGTTAAAAAGCGTAAATTTAAGGCATGTAACTTAAATGCATTAAAATTGGTAAAACAATATAATAAATTTAATATTGATTTTACAATGATATATAAATACAAACTTTAAAATTAGGTTAATTAAAAAAAATATACATATGTTAAAATAAAAATTAGCTAGGTTACTAAAATTGCAATACAGTATAATACAAAAACATAGCAATCCTCTGATATTCATTAGTTGAATTAAACTTACGGAGTTTCTTGGCTGCAGCTGAAGCTGCAAGCAGGAGTGCAATGCCCAGCAGAAAGTGCCGCTGCATATTTGCCTTGGTATAAGTGAGACCGCGAGTGTAAATAAAAAAGCCACTGAGCACCAGAATCGCACGAGACCGGCCGCTTGAACTGGAAGAAAGCTGTAACCAGAGGCTCTCAACCTACCTTCACTTTTATACTCTTAAGTGAGCAGGCCAGCGTGTGGCCCCTCTACTAATTAGCAAACGAGACGCCCTTTTCAATAGGGAATCGTCCCTGCCGAGGAGGCATCAGCGACGGGGGGCCAACGAAACCCTTTGCCGAGTTTTCCTCCTTGGCTCCTGCTGGCGTTCGATCGTGAGGTGCTTTAATCGCGCAATAGGGATTCCCGTCGCGTTCTGATACGATTGCACATTACCTTAATTGCTGCTGGCTACTGGCCAAACGTGCTAGGTCATTATGACTTTTGCGCAGACAATTTTTTCTGTGCACCACTTTTAATATTTTTTTCTAGCTCCACTTTGAGGTATCGCTTCAGTGTTTGCCAATTTGACACGCTTTTTGGCCAGTTTGCGTTACCAATACATCAAGCGAAAGCTGAATTTTTGTATTGCATTGATTGGATAATAGTCGAAACTTAATAACATAATATTATGTGAGATTACTATTTTTTTTTCACAATTTGAGATGATGGTTGGCAATTTATTGTGCAGTCGTTTCTATCAATAGCGTAGAAAAAGTTAATCAAGAGTAATAGTTGAGAAAAAGAGAAATGAAGCGGCATCTGTTGGCGTGAATGGAATTGACTGACACCTTCGCACGTTTCTGCATGAGTGACTGCTGCGCTTTTTGCATGAGAAGAAAGTGCAGTTTAGTTGACTGAAATCGACATTTACTTTCAATTCCAATGAGGAAAATGTTCTATACATATTTAAAAAAAAGAAAAATATTAACATCATTTTTTAAAAGTAAAGAATAACAAAAAGCAACGAAGGCAATTCCTGTTGCAAAATAAGATAGTGCGTGGACTGCGTGGAGCTCATTAAGAATTCAAGGTTGTTAGTGCATTATGCCAATTTGATATTTTTTGCAATCTTCATACTTAAGCATAAATAAACTTCGGTGTTGCCAGCAAGTGCGGATGCAAAAAAATACAAGGTTAAAATAATTAATATATAGTTGTCCCTAATGCTGTTTTTTTTTATTAATTAATTTAATCATAATCTCATAATCACTGAGTCTCTACAGCTATCTAACTTCTCTTATTGCTGGAGGCTGAATATTTTAATAATTATTTTTTGTACTATCTTTATTTTATTATTTTTATTATTCTTGTTGTTTATTTACTGTACAAATTGTTACATCACATTGATTATATTCAATTGTTAAGAAAAAAAAGGAATTGTTGGACAAAACAGCACCACCATTAGCAAGAATTTTGCTAAAACTTTAATCCCAGATCAAAAAGACCATCCGCTGCAGTGAGCCTCTTTCCTCTTTTCCTATGCTAGTTTTTAAAAAGTTTGTATTAAATATTTTGGATTCTGAAATCTGAAGCAAAAGAAAAAAAATCCGATAAAATTATAAAAGGGAATTGAAACAAGTCCTTCAGCAAACTTGTGTTTCAAAATTAAATAAGAATCTTAAAATCCTACTATCTTATTTCCACACCGCATTTAACACAATTACATGTGGTAATTAAAAAGTTATAATTTAAAGGTGTGGCAAAATTTGAAAGCAAAAATCTGGAATAAAAAATTGTTAAAGAGGAGAGTTTCTATTTTTCAATAAGAGTTCATCACCTTTAATATAAATAATAATTACAATAATAATTTTTCGTAAAAAGCTGCAAGTTCATGAACGATCTATTCTGAAAGTAAAAAAAAAACTATTTTTACCTTCAAATAATCATAATTTAATAAACTAATTTTTTTGGCGACGGAACGTTGTACATGCATTGTGATACTAAAATGCCGCGACATTTGTTAGCGTGCACCACTAAAACCAATCAGCGGTGGCACCTGCAGTTGCACGCATTCAATTCACTCAAAGCCCGCCGCGGACCACGCTGCACTGCGCCGCTCAAAAAAGGTTTGCAAGATCTCGTGGGAATAATGAAAGTGAAACTGGCCGCAGCTGCATCAGATCGAGCGACCGCAAGCAAGAGCACCTTTAACGTAGTTCTGCGCGGACCCTTTGATGGAGCTGTTGGATGAAAGTAAGAGCGACGCTGGGGAAATAGAATGAGCAGAATTCCACGCGCGCGCGACAACATAGTCGATTATTCGCAACTCAGGTGCCATTCTTGCTGCAGCGACCGGCGATGGAGATCAGGGTAAGTGCACAAAGAGATGCATGCAGATTAGGGTCAAGTTGCCGCACTCGTCAGATTTTGGGTCAATATAATTTGCCAAGCACAGATTAATGATCTTTGCAATGGGTTCCATTTAAGTTAATGGATTTTTTTAATGAGTGCTGCAATTTTAAGTTAAAATTTCTTCATTTGAAGTGATTAAAGGGGAGGCATAATTAAAGTGGAATATAATTAATTATCAGAGGGTTCATTGTTGGTCATTAAGTCCATCATGTTGTGGAAAGAAAATTGATGCAAAATATTTTATAAGTGAAGGAGGTCACAGTCATTTTATAGGATTATATTTTTCTGTTGCAAAAATGCGATAGAGATCTTTTGATATCAAGAGAACGTGTGCAGCATTCATGTTTTCATCTTAATGAGGATTTTTTTCCTTGACAAGTCAGCACGTACTATGTGTCTTTTGTTCTGTGCATTATAAATTTAACAATTGCAGTATCAACGTTAACATTTATGGAAGTGCTAATTTAATAAGAAAACTTTGAAATCCGTTCAGGCTCAACAAAAGATTAGCTAAACAAGGTTCAGTGTTCTTAAAATATAAATTTAAGCGTTGCTTATCTCAAATGTTTTTCAATTTATTAATTAATTCCTTTATTTTGTGCAGATCCGTGGTTGTTTGATCTTTTTTATAAGTTCCATTCTTCTCCTCGATGTCTGTGATTCCCAGAGTGGACTTGGTAAAAAAATTTAATGCTTTTTGTACCAATTGTCTAATTGATTATAATTACATTTTTTTTGCAGTTGAAAGACTACGGCAATGCAGTCCATTTGAACAAAACTTTGACGAATGCATGCTTCCAGTACTAAACACCTTGAATTACTTATTTCCTACCGGTAAGCATTGCAAGGTTTATAGCTAATTGAATTAATTTCACAGCTCTTGCATCAGCGGAAAGACATTCAGATTATGGCAACGGCAGCAGCAGAGCTTTCTTCTATATAAAAATAAAACGTGCAGTTTCACCGATATTATTTCTAAATCTAGTGCACCACTGTTTGCCAGGAAGAGATAATCTATCAAACATTTGTGTGGTTTACGCACAACCCACAATTTTTCAATAGACGCATTCTGACCACATTTTCGTGTGAAATTTATTGTAGCATTATAGCTCTATTTTTTTGTTTAATAAGGTGAAACGCTTTATTGGATGTTTAAATAATTGAAAAAAATAATGAATTTAGATATTTTTACGACAAATTTTATGACTTTACAACACAAGGAATTATATATTATATTATATATTACAAAGAAAACAATACTTCTGTAGCCCTAAATTTTAGTAAGAAAGTTTTGCGTTTCCAATATAAAGCTGCTGCAACGTAAATTGCAGAGTGACCAGCAAATCTGCTACAGAGTGATTCGTCATACTTTCTTTCACCATATATACAAAAGCGAGCGCGGCATGAGCCAACCGTTGAACGAGCGAGTCGGAATTTCTAGGACCTTTTAAGATTATCCAATATTTGCGTGCAACAAACTTTAATTACGCAACTGCCGTCATCACGCGGCAATTAAAAGATGTTGCCAGTGCGCTCGTCGCTGAAAAGTATGCAACCGGCAGAGCTCGTCTGCCTGGCAGGTTGCATCCTGAACTGCATCAGGCGCTAGGAATTTTTTTCTTCTAGAAATACTACGTTTAACACAATGATTCTTTTCTTAGGTGTGCCTGAGTTTGGAATTCCCCCGTTTGACCCGTTCTTCGCCAGTGAAGTTGAAACGTCTCGGAAAAATCCACTATTCAGCTTTAATTTAAAGCTCACCAATGTGACTGAGTCTGGTTGGACAAATTCAAACGTAAAAAAGTTTAAGTAGGTTCACTACATTAAAATATTACAAAGATAGATTCGCAAAATAATATAAACAAAACATTTTTAGCACATTTCTAGTAATTTTCTATTATTCAGCACATATTCTTTTTTTGTGCATGTTTTTCCTTTATTTCATTATTATTTTCTGTTGCTAGGAGCGATTTTCCAAACAATCGGGTGACCGTGGACCAGTACTGGGATGACAAGAGACTTTCTGGAGGCTATGTTTTCGACCTCAAAATCCTTGGAATCTTTCGGATGCAAAACAGCGGCAACTTCAACCTCACCCTGCGTATGTTGTAATTTTTTCGGGGATTATTTTAAACACGCCCTTGGAACGACAAAACTTTTAAAATAATTGTCACTGCAATAAGCTGATCTGTAAACGTACTCTCAAAAGTCTCATTGCGGTAGGAGGCGTGCCAAGGTCGCAGAATTGAAAGAAGTGAAATGTCATGCTTGCTGAGCGTGGCTTCTGAAAAAACAAGATGTACGAGATACTTTTTTTCATCTAAATTAATTGGTGTCACATTATCACCTTAAGTGATTATGTTAAAATATAGGTAATTTTCACCTAATTCATCTGTAATTAATATAATTATGTTACAAAATCATTCCATTATCTAATTATACAGCATTATGAATGATTGTAAAAAATTAATTCCTACTGCTTTTAAAACTTTTTAGTCGGCTTCAACCAAAAAACGACTCTGAGAAGGCCCCCAGGATTTCTTGACGAATATGGAGCACCTTTAACTCAGGTCACAGTTAATATCCAGGACGTTCGAGATATGAAATTGCATATTTCAAACCTTTTCCATGGAAGGCAGATTATTGGTAAAACCAACACAATTTTATTTATTATATACTATACTAAGCGCATTTATTTATTTTTTTTTAATACAGAGTACACCCTGGATAGTATTATTAATGCAACATGGAGGCCTTTCTACCCTTTCGCAAAAGGATTGGTCAATGAATTGGTCGGAAAAGCGTTCACCAAAATTTTCACTAGGGCCTTCCAAAATGTTCCTTTGAATCTTATATACGGTTTCTAAATAACCACCAACCACCTTTTTAAATTTAATTACAGAAAATGAAATTTTTGGCCATTTTATTTCCGTACTCTGATGTTTTTGATCTTATTGTTCTCATGAAGAGAAAATTGTAGTTTACGGCCAGCGCAGCAAATAACCTCATAAGCCTTAAACTTTGATGATATGTATTCTTGCCCGATTTAGTTCCTAGCTCTACTCCTTATTTGGGTGCTCAATTATTGTTATTAATTTTGCTATATAATTAAAACAATTTAAAAGATATGATTGTTTAATTTTTAACTCCTCAAAATAAATTTAGATAATTTTTTTCACAGAATTTAATTAAAATAATTGAAAATTTTAAAATGAATACAATTGGTACAAGTTGCGTGGATTTGCGTGGATGTCTGACAAACGGGATGAAAACTAGTTTTGAATAAGAATTGCAAAACAAATTGCTTGGCATCATTATATACAACGACACTTGCATCAAGTAGTGACAATTGCAGATAAGAAAGTTGACTTCTTTGCTGGAGAACTTCTGCAATCATAGTGTTTGCGAATTAAATATTGCTTGTATCAAGGACGATACGCTTTTTGTTCAATTCGCCACCCACTAGCTCTTTCTGCTGGCGTTGAATTCTCCTTATTTTTCTTCAGATCTGTGTGAAAAAAGTTGCTGACAATGCAAAAAGCTTGCCTTGGCTTTTTTATGTGGAGTGTTTTTAGAGTCGTATAGGTGAGAATAAACATAGGGAAAATAATACAGAATGACGATCCACAAAAAATATTCCAAGGTCAATGTCAATTGCGACTTACTAATGTTAAGCTGAAGATCGTAAGAGAGGTGAATGTTTTAGGTTTTTTTTTTTAATTCACAGGCATTTTCATCTCCAAAATAAAGTATTGGATCTAAAAATAAGCTTTAAAATTTCAATGATTGATAGATAGAAAAATTAATATTAGGACAAGTGATTAAAAAAGTGGCAAGTTTAACAGACATTTTAGCACAATATGTACCCTGCTTGATGTGCGATCTACATGGCCTTACATCACTTCTAGTTAGCACAATTTTTTTTCTTTTTCCGCCTTGACTAACCCTGAAATGAAATTTGATTTACACTATTTAAAGCTTTGACAGGACCAAGTATATTTTTTAACGTCTCAGAAAAATTATTTTGCCAACATAATTTTGTTGAAATTTTGACTGTAAATGTCGCGTGCAAGGATGCTGCGAGTCGTTTTTCTGAGACGCAGAGACCATGGTGACATTGGCGTAATGTTTTGGGAGATGAATAGCAATACGCTCAAAGAATACACACTCAAACAAAGATTCAATGCAAAGGTCAACGCCACACAGCCTTGATCTATTTTTACAGTGGCTTCTAATCTAATATTATTTTAGTATTATTCTTCAATAATATACTTCCGTGATAAAAGAAATTCGCCACGCATCGAGTTGCTGTAAAAAATCAATCATTTCAAAATAGGTTTTCCCCTTTTGTTATTTTTCCTCCAATCATTTGCCCTTCAACCATGCAGTGGTAATTTTTCAATAACAATTTTAATTTATGAATATAAATTTTTTTTCCCATATCTGTGTCATAATTCCCTGATCCATCTTTGGTATTGATAATTTAAAAAAATATATCTGATCGGGAAAAACGTATAATACAAATTATACCTGTTTGACAAGAAGATGAATTTTGTAGAGGTGTGGATACGTCACCCTTGTTGTCTGTGGCCAATGCTGGCAAGGCGTGCGTGTTTATGGTACACCGCATTATGAAAAAACACGCGGCGGTTCGATCCTAGCTAAATTGTGCCCCACGACAGGTGGGGGTACCCCTTTCAATATAAGCGGCGATCTTTCATTAGGCGTCTCTTTTGCACCAAAGTACCAAGTCGAACTCGCCATCCACCGTGCACCTGGGTGATTTGCAATATGTGGACAGCGTCGATTTTAGTTTTCACTGCGTCCGTCCTTCAATTCTGCAAGGCCGAGGGACAAAATCTGACCATCCGTGAGTATAAAAACTTCTGTTAATAATTTCTGTGTTAAAATTATATAAAAAAAATTGTGGGTAATTTCTTATTTTATTTTTTATTCCATCATTTTTGCTACTTTCAACTCAATCCTTATACTTTTGTATTTTTGTCTCATTGAATAAAAGATCTAAAAAATTTACAATCGGGGCAGATTTTTTTTCAATCAATAAAGATTATCACATTGACAAATAAACGCTGTAATGAAGTGCATAACTCCTTATTTCATTATTATATAACTGCTTTTACTGGAATTATTGCATCTCCGTTATAGTTGTTGTGCACCACTTTCTCTCTTCAGATATTGATCATTATTACATAAATTTACGCGGAAATACTTTGACCGGCGCGCCGGCTGCGTCGGACTGGAGCTCTATTTACCTGCAAAGAGGGTACTTTGTGCAATGCTATTACCTCACAATCAGAGTCGAGCGACCTCTTAATGCTGTTGTTACCTCATAGACAGATGCGTGCTATGCACTTTACTGCTGCTGCTGCTGCTGCTGCTGCACTTCAAACAATGACCCCATTGCTTCGAGACTGGAAATCTTACACACTTTAATTAATTACTGCATGCTCACTGCGGCTCCAAGTATAATCGAAAAGCCTTATTTATATTTAATACACTTGGTATTAAAAAGCGAGTGACTAATGCGACCGCACCACGCTAATTTGTGGATTAGATTGTTTGTTAACGCTCTTTGATATTACTAAGACAGCAGAGAGTGGCGCAAAAAAAGCCATAATTGATTTCGGCGAAGGGCCGCGTGTTGCAAAAATTCCCGACTTGCATCAGTAATGCTGGGAGGAGAACATTAAAGAGCTTTTTGAAAGTATAATATAATGCGCAACCAGGCACTTTTATATTATGTACGAAGACAGCCAGTTGTAATGTCAGTTGGTTCTCATGAGTGTTAATTAAAAGGGTAAATAAATCGTGACATAGTTCAGCTCATAAGGCAACTCGCATTTTTTGTCTTCCTCAATTATATGATGGTTAGAGAAAAAAAATAATAAAATGAAAAGCTACACATATATTTTTAATTAAATATGTAACTTAAAAAAAAAATTAAATTGAAATAAAATAAAACATTTTTTACTAAATTATTAACAGTTTTTGTTACGTTTAATGAGTTATTATTTTATAATTATAAGTATTAAAATAAAATTCAAGTTGTCATATTAATTATAAAAGAACCCGTCTATCTAAAATTCTTTACAATAAACAATAAAACATATTTTATTGTTTATTTTATATAATATCTTACTGTGCATATTTAAATTAAATGGTAGGTCTCAACTATAATCCTATGTTCACTTTCAATTTGTTACCAATAAATGAGGAATATTCATCCTTTTATAAATATTTAATTAACAGAGTAAATAATTTAAACGCACTTCATTTATATAACAAATAATTCTTACTTATTGCCTTTCAGCGGCCTACATAAAACAATGCAAATCGGACGATCCCAAACTCGTCAGCTGCCTGAACGAAACGCTGGTGCACTTAAAGCCGTACTTGGCAAAAGGTGAAATTTATTCACACGTTATATTGGCACTCCTAGCGAGGGTCTATTAATTTGTTGTTTTCTCTAACCATGAACTTGACCGTGAATCGTCACAGGTATCCCTGATATTGAATTGCCGTCTGTGGAGCCTTTCCTGATGGATGAACTGTCCCTTTCGCTGTCCACGGGACCCAAGGGCTACAAAATCACCCTCAAGGACCTCCAAATCTACGGCGCCACTAACTTCACTGTCCGCAAAATGAAGTATATTTAACAAATTATAATAAATATATCTGAGATCCTCGATCATTTCCATTGAATTTTATCCAATATTAAACAATCTGATTTTTTTAATTTTTTTAAATATTCATCATTAAATTAGTAACACTAATTGTTAATTTTTAGGCTTGGATCCAAAAATTCGCGTTTCGAGACCAAGCTGCGAATCCCAAAGCTGCACATTGACGCTCGCTACACCAGCTCCGGCGTGCTCTTCATTCTGCCAGCTCTTGGCGGCGGCACCTTCAACGCTGACTTCTGTAAGGGCCCCTTCATGTTGCAAATTTACGGCTCAATTCTATTTTGAGAGCACTCCTTGGCCAGTTGTTTCGCTTCATGAACGATTGCTTTTCTTTCTTTCGCAGATGACGTGCACGCCGATGTAAGCGGAATCGCAGAAAAGACAGTCAGCAACGCGACCGGCCAAGATGAGACTTACCTCGCGGTGCGCGACCTCGGCGTCGAGCTCAACGTAAAAAATGTGCACATGAGCGTGAAGAAGGTGTTCAACAACAATCGTATTTTGAGTGAGTTAAAAAAACACAATTCGTTTATTTGATACAAATTTTTTTCTAATAATTATTGATGAAGTTAGAAAAAATATTAATGATAAAAAGCTGTTGGGTAAATTTTATAAGCTATCAAAATAAACACAAAAGTAAAATAACAGCGGCAATAGTTTCTGACCCAAATACAAGCCTGCGATTAGATGACTCATAAAAAGCCTAAGAATTTCCTGTTTATGTTTTTTCCTGTTGCCTAATTAAATGATCTATTATTTTTTTTTCTTGTACTTAGTACAACTATATTTTCTCTTCTGCAATATTATCACATTTGGAACTAAAACTAGAAAAACAAGTAAATCAACGCAAAATACAAATGCTAGTTAAAACCTATCTCTATTTCCTTAAGTTCATATATATTATATCGTTAAAGCATTCTGAAAAAAAATATCTGGAAAAGTTGTACACGATTTTTAATTATAAAATCCCTACATTGTGAAATACGTTTTTCTATTGATTCATTGATTCATGATACAAAATTAAACTGAAAATAATAGAAAAGTAAAAAAAAAAATTAAATTTTGTCTACTTTAATCACTAAATTACCTGAATTTAATTCTAAAATTGTTTTAATTTTGCAGCTGAAGGAACCAATCTGTTCCTGCGAGAGAACGGTCACGAGGTCCTGAAACACATGCAGCCGCAGTTGAAACGCAAGATCTCGGCTCTGTTCTCCGATGTGGCCAACAGGTTACTCACTCACGTGCCAATCCGCGTTTTTCTCATCCAGTAGTAATTGTGTTCTAAAAAAATCTGTGATTCTGCTTTTCGCTCTCGCTATTAATACACTTTTCATTTCATTTTGTGGTGTTTTTTTGTCTGCGAATGGTGTTTTTATTTTTAGATATCATCGACTTTTCCATTATCCCATAATGCTTGGTGTTGAATAATTTTAGAGCATCAAGCTTTTGTCTTCATCTGAGCTGCATTGTTTTGTAAATAATACACAAATATACGTAACTCGCGTTGACTCATCATTACAGTTGTAGTTGATTGATCAATAAAATATTGATAACTGATGCGAAGGTAATTTGAATAGTTTTATTAATTTGAAAAATCATAATACACAATGGTAAATAGTTTGATTAAAAAATTAAAATGATTTAGAAAAGTAATAATAATTTTAAAAATTTGATTTAAAAAATCATATATTACACAGTGCTAAATAATTTGATTAAAAATTGAAATTATATTATTTAGAGAGGTAATAATAGTTTAATAAAAAATAAATTAAAAAAGCAGTCGCTTTCCTCGGCGTAATTTCCGCCGGCGCAGCCTGGAGACGGAATCTTCATTTCGAGGCGGTTCACGCCTGCGAGCATCTGCAACTGAGCACTCGTTTGTGTCGTGGCGGTTGCCTACGTGCAACTCTGCAGGCGGTCAGCAGCAGCCTCTGCTGGCCATTCGGAAAATCACTCTCCGCCAACTCGCGATTCTGCACCTAAAATAACTCTCAGTTGGGGAAAAAAGTCTGATTAATATAATATTTGAATTGATTAATGATTTTTACCGCCGGATTTTGAGCAGAAAAACGCCAAATTCGGGGTTTCACGCGAATTTCGCGTTGACGAGGTTGGCAGCAGTGTGGCAACGCCGCAATCGACTATTACGTTGGGAGTGACGTCACGGCTGGCTCGACTACGGGGTTTGCAAAGTTTAGTAGAAGGAAGCCGCACCCTTCAAGAAGAGATTGAGTGTGTCTTGTAAACATTTTATTTGTTACCGTTTTGAATACTTGTTTGTACGGACCTGATGTGCTCCGTGAATGTGTGAGAGGTGGGATTATCAGTGAATATCAATGTATTTTGTAAGTATTAGCTAAGGATTATCGAGAATCCGAGTGCTGGAGGCGAAGGCGTAACACCTGACTCACACTTCGGACCGCACAAATACGCAGGATACTCTGCCAAGCAGGTAAATAGACCCTCTGAGCCCTCTAGGGCCTCCTCCTCTATCATACCCGCCTCTTGAATCGGCGCCCAACGCCGAATTGTTCGGCCGCTCGCCGTTTTTCGGCCTCGGCCGCGGCCAGAGACCTGATGCGCCATGATTACATATGGCCGTCCTCGGCCCGTATTTCGCCCTGAAACCGCCGTTTGCCACCTGAGAACCTCCGTCGGCGTCCGTTTGGCCTTCTAAGGGCACGCAAGACCCCGGTCGGCGCCCTTAAAGCGACTTTTGGCAACGATGCTAGCATTTTCACACACGAAAATACGGTTTTATGAGGGCGCACCCCTTGCCCAAGGGTGAGCTCGCTAAAGCACCCTCAGGGGACTTAGGCTGGCCCTTGCCAACGCGAGTATGGGATTTGATGACCCCAATCTGTCCCGACCAGACCCTGGAATATCCAGTTACAGCTTTTCAATCGTATTCGGGCCGAGTTTTGAGTTTGACTGGAATCGGGAGCACGCCCCATTTTGCTGCTTTTCGCCCCTTGTTTCATTTGGTGCAATTGTTGGAAAGTTCTAAGAAGAAGCGTCTTGAGCGAATCTCAATTGTCGGTCTAATTCTGCTACTTTTCGGGGGGCAAATTGATTTTTTTTTTGCCATTTATGGTAAAGGTTGCAAGGATGACGATTAGATTATCACTCGAATTTATTGATTTGTCCCTTTTGCTTTGAAACAGTGGAGTTTTTCACCCTTCGAAGGACGATGAAGGAAAAACGGAACACTTGTTCGTCTAAACTGACCAAAACCAAAAGTTGCCGTTTTCCTTGACGGTTTTTTTTTAATTTGGTGTGTTGGAAGGAAATGTTTTTGTACCTGTGGTCAGTCACGTTCAATTGATCTTTATTTCATTGTTTGTTCTGGATAATATTTCCTTAAAATTAAAATTTGTCGAAACGTCACAGATTTTTTTCTTGTGGAAATAATAATATTCTGATAAATATTTCTAAAAAATTAACAAAAGTTCTGTAAAAAAAAACGTCAAATTTTATATTAAAAAAAAAAAAAAAAAAAAAAAAAATTGTATTAGTTTAATAATGTCCCCATTAAATTATATATATTAATAGGAAAATTTGGTTTCATTTTAGAACGAATTCGATATTTTGGTTAATTTTTAACAAAGAAAGTAGAAGTTACGAAAAATGCTATTTTTTATTGAAGTCAAATAGAAAAAGAAAAAAGCAGTTGTTGTATTCGGTCGGCTGTGGAAAGTGCAGAGGAAATGGTGGCGGTTTCGAGCTCACAACTCAACAGTTGTTGCTCCAAACATCATCTGCCGGCCACATTTCATTATTTTCGCTTCACCTACATTTTCCACCTGCTCTTTTGAGGAGCATCCCGCTTCGCTGGGGGAGGCATTGCCAACTGTAAGAATCAATTGTTCGCTTCCTGTCTTCGTGCATTGCACCAGTCTCTATCAATGGGTTAAAAATACATTCCTGAGCGTCTCGGAAGGCGCTTACAATATTTATTTCCAAATTTCATGTTGTTAAATTTGAGTTGTAAAAAATTAGGCGAGCGTTAATAGGTGAAACCCGATTCCAAAGTGTTGATGTTCAACCTGCCCTCGAGTTGATTTTGGGCGTGTGTCGTGCAATTTGTCCCCCCTCGGACGCGCGCCGCTGCCAAAACGTTTTGGTGACATTTTTCGAAAGAGCTGCAGCGGCAACTCGCAGACTAACTTGTCCTGCCTGCCCGCCTGCCCGTCGACTTATTCTCGGCCTTGCGGTGTATTTTTATACCCCTTCCGACACCACGCGGACGTGTGTAATATTTTCATTTTCTGCTCCACTGTCCGGAAAGGAAATTTTCTAAACCGTCAAGGTTCTTTATTTTGTTACTGCCAGTAGTTAAATTTTTGTTACTAAAATTGTATTACAGTGGCATTTTTTTAAATAACGATTTCGTAAAAATCATGTTGTTTAAAAAACAAATGTCCATATTCTGCAATTCAAACAAACATTTTTTGTAATATTTACTGATTAAATATTCCAAAGGAAATTGTCAATACTTTTAATTTATTGTACGGTTCTACCCGACATTACTTCAGTTTCAGTGTCACCATTATTTTGATGCAGTATAGTTATAAATTTTTTTTTTTTTTTGCCTCAAAGAATAATACCAGAACACATTCTAGAAGAGAACCAGAAATATATTTACTGGAAAGTTCTAAGCCAAAGATTTCACATGATTTTACATAAAAGTGATAAATTTATTTTGAACTGATAAACTCTGTTGATGATTAAAGATTGATGAAATGTCAAAGTTCCAGTTCATTTCAAATTGCAAGACGGAACTGTCAATTTTTTTTTCAATATTTCTGTTGAAACGAACCCTTGCACGCCGGGTCAAATAATTGCAGTTCATTGGGCACCGCGTTTTTCCCCATGAATCACCCCTGTAAAGACCATTTTCAAACGCATTCGTTTCGTTTTGGAGCGAACGCGGCAAAGCTGCTCGCTAGCCAGATAAGTCATAATTACGAGCAACACGCCACAATTATCGCAAAGCACCGAGCAGCCCTTTCTTTTTTTATCATTTCTGCGTGCCACTTGGGCCGCTGCACTCGCGCGTGTAAAGAGATCGATTCGTTTGTTTGCCGGCACACTGCGTTTGTTAATAATTTATGGTAATTCTCACCTGCAGTTGCCGCCTGAATTATTCACCTGATGCGGTTGCAAATAAAGTCGCGGGTTTTTCACTTATTCTCGTTCTCACCGAAATTGCCAATTTTTATCATTTTTTCCGGCTTAGAACGTTTTAGGCGATTTTCGCTGTTTGTTGCAAATTTTAATGGCCGGCCTGGCGTTTGTTATTTTTTTTTTTTAATGACGATAATCCCGCTGCACAGTCGACCCCCGACTTTATCATTTGATCGCTGCCAACAGACCGTATTGCGTCGGAGTGGAAATGTTGCGTGGATGCACTTTTAGCAGCAAATAATCTTATCAGCTCCATTTGTGCCAAAGACCGTTTCCAATTAGCCACGACCTTGAGTGAATTTGTTGAACTCATTAGCACCTAAAATTTTTAATTTGATTCCGATAAGTTTCCTCAAGCATAAAATGTCTTGAATGTGCCATATTATAGTCATAACATTTGCCGAAGATTACGGTCGTCCTTGAGCCACGAGTGTTATTCTTTTTCCTGGAAATTGTCTCTGGAAATAGCTTTTGGTGTAGGAAACTGTAGGAAACTTTGGTCGATGCCAGCAATCGTGCTCTTGAATTGTAAACAGAATTACATCATTATTTTTCAATCAAGTATGTAGTCTCAAGTTGGTTCTATTTTGCGCAAAATGTTCCCTCTTGTTCAGTTGCTTTTGTTAAAGAACGTTGTAAAATTTTGGAATCAGCTTAAAAACCCACGGAAGAAAAATCATCTAAATTTAATATATTTGAGTCAAGCTTCTCTGACTCTGCCAAAGTTTTGTTAATGCCTATTAACTTATAATTATAACTTAAAATATGCCAGTGACCTCCGTTGAGTTGCTATTGTTGCTTTTTATAAAAGAATTTAAATACTTTATTAAATATTTACAACTCTTATTTTATTAAACTAATCTAGAATTATAATTTAATGAATTGCCAATGTTTCGACTTGATGAAGTGACAACTTTTTATTTCATTTAGAAAGGATTTTATGTCTTTTAAATGCAAGTGTCAAATAGAAACAATCCTAGCTAAATGCCCGAAGTCCATTTCTTAAAAAGCTATGAATTTTATAACGCTATGAACAATAGCGTTCTTAATTTCTGTCTCCTTTTAATATGCAAATGGGAATAATAATTTAAAATATTCAGCCTGTGCATTTTTATATTTGTTTATTTTATTTAATCCATCGCAAATCACACCAGAGTAAAAAAAAAACACTGAAAAGTAACGCCAAATTTATTTCAAAATTATTTATCTGACATCATAAATAATTTAAAAGTTAGGTTGAAACATCAGGTTTTTCATTTATTTTCTTATCATCCTGGCAAAATGTCCTGAATCAAACTTATTCAATTTTTTTATTAACTATTATTGGCATTGTGTACCAACTTGAATATTAGGCAAAAATTCCCTCTCGCCTTGCGAATAAGTTTCGGTTCTAACATTGCAATCGCGTCATGGACAGGTCTAAGGCAGGCATGTAGGCAGCAACGAAAGGGCGTGTGGTGGCGGTCGGCGACGGGTGCTACTTAATTAATCACGCGGGTGCAGTCGTCGGATGGACGTACGGAAGGAAAGGATGAGGGTGGCCAATCCAACTTGTTGGTGGTGCTCCGCGGCGCGCGCCAGCAAAAGATGCAGTTTCGTGGGTCGCTCGGGCCGCTCCGTCCGAACTGCGAGGGAAGAAGGGCTGCACGAGTGGGTCGCTCGGGCGCGCTCGTGGCCGGCCGTACGTTTCGATTGGCTCGGGGTGGGTGCGGGGCGCGGGGGGTGCAACAGCCACCGAGCAAGAGCGAGAGAGAGAGCGAACGACACGGTGCGCGCGAGTGAGTGTAGCTGCTTCGGGGGTGCCGGGATGGGTGAGTAGCTTTCGGCACGGCCAAGGGTGTGGCGACTCATCTCGTGTCTCGACCGGTTCTGCGAGGCCCCACGGGCCCCTTGGACCCCGCACATCCCCTCGCAGCAAGGAGAGCATGGTGCCGCTGGCCTCGGCGGGCCCAACGCCCAGCTAGCTGCTCCTCCACACCTCGCCCGTAGCCGCCATTTGACTCGCGCTCGCCGCTCTCGTGTCTCGCCAACTCATTCTTTCTCTCCCCGAGTGCAACAAAATCATTTTATCATGTGCCGCTCGTGATACAAATTTTTCGCCCGTGCTCGACGCCGAAAGAGGGTCGAACTCATTTTCGCCGCAGCCGCGAGCTCGCCCGAATCAGCTTTTAGGTACGTTGGTCCGCCCCGCCAGCCCAAGGGCGGTGTTTGCTGATGTCATTTTCCTTACCAACCGTTCGTTTCGCCACAATTTGTTCCTTATTCGTTCTCCACTTTGGCCAGGGATGATTTCGGGCAACGCGAACCAGAGTCAAAAGTTACAATCGCGCCCATGGTTTTCCGAGTCAACCGGCTTATCTGTCCTTACCAGTTTGTACAAGGAAATGGTAATTCGGATGATTATTTGCTGAGTATTTTCACATTGGTCTTTCTTTTAAAGTTAATCACTGGCGTTCTTCTAAACAAATAAATCTGCATCTTTATACCGGCTTAAAACTTTACTTTTCCTTTTCATTAATTTCCAAAGCTATGAAATTAACTTTACTAATTTTAAAGTAATGAAATTATGTTAGATGGTTTTTATGCAATAAATGGCCTCCCTATTTATAGGAGCGCGAAAGATGAATGAAAACTAACAAATATTTTTTTGTATCATTGCCTATCCATTGGTAGCTGTTGAGCCTGCTTAACCTCATTTGCTAATAAAAGCACTGAAATTCACCAATTTAGAAGTAGAAAAATGCATTATTAATTTGAATTTTGCAAGCGGAAATTTACAATTCCACTTCCTATTTGAACCAGATGAAAATTTTAAATTACATGGGGTTTATAATTTTTTGCACCTCTTTTATAAACTTTGATGTGTTATTGTTTACTTTTAAATCAATAATTACAATTTAATATCACAAACTAAACCGTTTTGATTTTTTTATAACCTTTTAATGGCCAGGCAATAGTTTTAGGACTTAAATTATTAATTTATATAACAAAAGGAATAATCAGCAAACTTACCAGATTATTCTTACATACTGCATTAAAACAGTTCCACGTTTCCCATTTTTTTGTATAACCGGCTACTTTTCCTCCTCGACTACACCGCCCCTTTCGGTTCGCATGCATTGAAACGAGCCATGGTCGGCGTCTGCCTCTTGCGAAGGCCAACTAGGCCCGTTTGCAAAGCCGCATCGGTCGTTTTATTGCCTGCATGCTTTTTATGATTGATAACCTAATGAAATTCGTGGTGTCGAATCGAAGGGCGATAAGAATGCAAACACAATCCGCTCTGCGAGTGAGATCAATGAATGTTCTGGCGACTTGTGTTCTGCGCCCAAAACTGCCTTCGGACACGAGCCGAGCGAGCCAAGTAGCTCTTTTTGCGTCCGTCCAGCTAACCCCATTCACACAGCGCGAGCGGCTGGAAATAGCCATTCAAAATATTTACCCCGCGAGATGCGCTGGAAACAACAGCGGCAGGCCAAATAAAAATAAAACCGTCTCGTTATTATTACTCGCCAAACAGCCGGCGGTCGTGATTTACACGAATATTTTATTGATTTGCGCCTCAGCCTCACTCGACTCTTAATTGAATCAGTCCAGAAATAGGCCGGCCAATCTTTGTCTCTGGTATTTTTGCCACAATTTGTTGAATCTGTCTGTCATGGTGTCTTTTGTCTCCAAAGTGACACGAACGGATTCAAGGCGAGTCTTTGTTTGTTTGCCTCCGATTTCGAGAATTCGCGCCTGCTCGACGCTAGCTGGCATTTTCCTGCTTTTGAACTTTGATTTCATGAAATGCCAAACCCCGCACGAGTATCCTGCACACTCGTTTTTCCACGAAAGGATAAATTTTACAGTATTTTAATATCACAGGGATCCTGTGACCAGTGGTTGAAAATTTCAATTTATTTTATTTGTCCCTCTCGCTTATATTTACAAAGCCTTAATATTTGAAAATTTAGCTTCACTCGTTCACTTTATTTATGACTGTTTATGAAACTCGGCGTAGCATTATTGGGGGAAAATTTCTATTTAAATGCTTCACTGATTTCGGCGTTTCTGGAAAGTACTTAAATTAAATCAATCCCAACGCTGGCTTCAAAGTAATTTGGACGGCCGAAAGTTTTATTTCCAGTTACTCAACCAGCCACAGGTGAAAAAAAATGCCCTCCGCCATAAAACGCTGCGTGCCTGCGAGTAAAAAACATTGGAATTTTAATTACACAGAGAAGCACCGCGGCCGATGATAATTTGACCCCCGGTGATGTTGCTGCTCCTAAAATCACCTGCTACTGCTCTTTCCGAGAGAGGAATTTAGGTTTGGTCCTCGAAGCTCGTGCAATTAGTCTGTTTTTAACTCGCTGAGACGCACAGAAAGGGAAACTGGTTTTGCCAGTCGCCGAAATTCTTAATCCGAGTATGCAATATTTCGCCCCGTTTCTAATTCCACCTTTTCCAAAACTGCCGCACAAGCGATTCCGGTGCGGCTTCTGGCCGGGACTTTGACCGGCAGGGACGAAATTAGCAAAATGGCGAAACTTTACTTTTGTTCTGTGTATTTTGCGGCCTGTTTTTGATGCATTGAGGCCGAGCGGGAGGAGGAGGAAGGGCCAGTGAGCCGACGAGCTCTTTGGCTGCTGTTTCGCCCTTGTGATAATAATTAACCTGCATTCATGCAAGCGAGTCTTTATGTGTCTCTGTCTCTTTGTTGCAGCGACTGCCTAGCCGTGTGTGGTGGGACTAGCAAGTATGAATGAGTTAGAAAGCCTTAGGCAAGAAGCAGAAACCCTCAAAAATGCCATCAGAGTAAGTATCAATTTCTAAATACGTTTCCTAAACTGTTCGACATGATTTTGGGTCGTTTTAAAATCCAAGTAATTTATTTTTGCTTATCCCAAAGTTCTGTCGATACTTCTTTTGTTCTTAAGCACTTCTTTTTTCTCAGACATGTGCGTGCACTCGATGCGATCGAAGGCAAATCGTTTTGTCCGCCTTTCTTACCTCTTGCCCCACGTCGCATTTCACATGCTAATAGACTTTCTAATGGCCGGCCCATGCGACCTGCCTTATTTGCTCTGCTTGCATGGTCGTCGGCCTTTTTCATTAATTTGGTGACGCGCTTCACCCGTGATGTGTTAAAACACAGAGACAGGCCCTGCCAAATTACTGCGTAGTATAGTACAAGGAAACTCTTTGTTTTGCCATCCAGGAGGCAAAATCGGAAAAATCCTAGTATTTCGTGCCCGGTGCCGTGATTCTTTTACAAGACAAGAAAAAAAAATCGTTGTGAAGTCGCGTCAATTCAAATTGTTCCGCTTGAATAGTAGATTTTCGTGAGTCCCGCAGTCTGACTCAGTTGGAAAATATTAGGAAGTTTATTTGTACCTGCGATCTACCTGATGATAAGATAGCAAAGTGCCTTTGTTCACGTTGACTCCTGGTTGACTGGAGTACTAAAATGCGTCGGTGTGCGAAACTGGAAAATAAAATTATGGACCAGTAAATTAATTAAAGATTGATTTTTTTTAATAAATTATCAAAAAATGGTCCTCCTTTCAGTAAATTTAAAGCAATATTTTATATTTTTCAATTTGTTGTTACAAAAAATTTATCAAATTTGAACAAAAAGGAAATACCTTGAAAATAAATTTTTACTGTGTTTAACAATGCTAAATTTAGAACTTTTGGTTAACCTTAAAAGTAAATCAAGAAACCATTGCAGAATTGCATACTTATTTTATTTTTTCAGGGCTATGCCAAGTCTACAGTCTTATCAGCCAATGTACTTTATTAGTGGTTTATTGTGGGAAAAATCAATCCTCATTTATTGCTGACATTTCCCTAAATGGGTGATCCACGCGATGATGACGATTGCCGTTGAAAGAAAACTGTGCAAACGGAACAGAGATAATAACATTTGGTTATGATGTGGTGATAAATAAAATATTTTTCTGTATTTAAATTTTAATACATGAACAAAATTATAATTTCATCAAAATATGGTTTGTTTGCGCTTTTGCGAGTTAAAAAGGGAGGCCACTTGAGTTGAAGGTCATTTCATTAGCACTCGGACTTTTCCAGATTTTCTTTGGCCCACCCGAGCCGGTTGGGTGTGAGCCACTCGGCGGCGCGCGCTATTCGCCGCGGCGTTCGCTGCGCCCGTCCGCCGCGTAATTGCGATAAGACTGGCCTCTTGGCTGGCGTAATAGCCGAGCGAGAGTGTATGTGTGCCTAGGCGAAATTACTCGCGAGAGCACATTGTTGCGTGGATTTTTGCGCCGCGAGCAGCATTATCAGCAGGATGAGATGTAAAACACGAGGCGGCTCTTTCGAAAGACAGCGAGGGGCGAGCGAACACCATTGACGTCACTCTGGCTGCTGCATTATTAAAGGTCCCCCGGGGGCGGCTCGGTGCGTCTCGGGGCCGCGACTTGGGGTCTTTGGCGGGCAGGGCCGGGTGCTGGGGGCCTTCGGGGGCCGCGGCCCCCCGAGAGGACTGCGGCCAGCCGAGGAGCGCGCACGCCCAGGCAGGCCCCCTTGCCGGCGAGCCAGCCGATCAATACACCCGCCCGCGCGACTGCTTGCTGCTGGGGCGGACTCGCGGAACAGACCGACCGACGAACCAACATTTCAGAGGGGAACGCCGACTGTGTAAAGGATCGACCCGAAAAGAGCCTCCCTTTTGCCTGTTTTGCCGCCGCCGCCGCCGCTCTCTCGTGTGCTGTATGACTGACTGACTATAACCGATGGATGGATGCGTGGCCTTTAAGCTCGAGTCCGACCACGACCTCCGAAGAGTCTATTATGCAAATTCTGCGCGAAAAAATAAATATACTTGAAATTAAATTCTGAAATTTTCTTTTATCTTGAAAAACTTTGATTTGCCAAAGTTGCAAGAAGTCTAATTTTGAAATTTAAGATTTTTCCCCAAACTTTCAAGCATGCAAGTGGACTCTTACAATTATTGTTATAAAGCTTTAAAAATATTAATAGAAAAGTGTTTCTGAAACGCTTCAAGAAAAACAATTTCTAAATAATATTTCCAATTAAAAATTAATACAATTGTAATCAAATTGAATGAATTGGTCAATTGGTCTGAAGTTAATTGAATTCATTATCATATTTTAGATGAATGCTTTTTTTGTCAATCAAAATTCAAAATAAATTTTATTTATTATATAAATTTTATGAGCTCTACGAAATTTGGAATGATAAAAATAAATTAATTCATTTCTAGCCAAAGTGAGACAAAAATTGGGTACCTATTTGCCATTATCATATTCTTCATGGATTTTCTTTGTTTGAATATCTTAGAGAAATCAACGAAAACTCTATGAAGTGTTCAATAATTAAAGTCATCAAGTTCTTGTTTCCATTATTACGTTTTGAAGTTAAATTTCAAACTGATCCATGCTTAAGAAGAATCAAATGAACAGAAGCCTCACTCTCACTTTTCTTACTCAGTAACCGCAACTCGTTAGCAGTTTCAATATAAATTTATACCGAAGCAGTACCAAAGCATCTTTAAATCGATATTCACGTCGGTGCTGCATGGCACTAGACTAGCTAAACCTTTCATGCTAAGTGCACGTTTATTGATGTGCAATTTGCAGGCTTGCACAAATCACCTTCCCATTGGGAGAGAACCGATCGAGTCGCGAAACAGAGAGATGGAGATATTTTGCAATTGATTTTTATTAATTTCTGCCGACATTGAGTGCACGCACCTGTTACGAATCTTTCCTTCTCTTTTCTCTCGATTGTGTTTGCCAATAACATGCTAATGTTTTGTCTTGTTGCCTTGCCCGCAGGATGCACGTAAGGCGGCGTGTGACACGAGCCTGGTGCAGGCCACCAGCAATATGGAGCCAATCGGACGTATACAGATGCGCACCCGCAAAACTCTGCGGGGGCATCTCGCCAAGATCTACGCCATGCACTGGGGATCAGACTCAAGGTCGGTACCAGCAGACATGCTTCTAACCCCTCCAGAGAGAGAAACCAATCCAATCTCGCCCAAAAATGAGTTTTCCCCAAAACACCCCATTCATAATCTTGCATCATTGACATTTATTGGAGATTTGCGAAATCATGTTCTTTTTATCTTTCTTTTTTTTCATTATTCCAAAGAATTGCATTATTCTTCTTTCAATTTTCTAAATTCTATATAAAGCTTAATTAGAAGGAAAAAAATTCAAGATTGGGAGTTAAACTCTCTGCAGGTCAGAATGCTAAACTAATCAATAGTCCAAATACTTTTGATTTTTAATTGCTTTTATTTTTTAAATAATATTCTCATCATTCAACTTATTTAAGAACTTATTATTTTAGATTTAAAAAAAATGCAAAATTCTCCTCTTTCTCCTATTCTCTGTGTCTATTCTTTACAATAACTATCCTGTCCTTCCTAAATTTTCTCTCTTACTGTATATCTGTGAAAATGGTCAAAGAGCTGAAGCAAGCAGCTTTAAAATCAATATCAGTCCTGTTTCCAGGAACCTGGTTTCAGCCTCCCAGGATGGCAAGTTAATCGTGTGGGACAGTTACACCACCAACAAAGTGCATGCCATTCCTCTGCGCTCCAGCTGGGTCATGACCTGTGCCTACGCCCCATCCGGCAGCTACGTCGCATGTGGCGGTCTCGACAACATCTGCTCCATATACAGGTGAGCACCTGCCCCTCAAAATTCAGAACCCTTCACCTCATCACACAAATTTTGTTTCAGTTTAAAAACAAGAGAAGGAAATGTCCGTGTTAGTCGGGAGTTGCCTGGACACACTGGATACTTGAGCTGCTGTAGATTCCTCGACGATAACCAGATAGTCACAAGTTCAGGAGACATGTCTTGGTGAGTTGAGCCATTTTGGAATTTCACAAGGGGATGTGGTTTGGAAGGAAGTGGGTTTCCTTTGCACTGAAGATCATGACGAGCTCTTGAAGCTCATTATTGCTTTAAAGTAATGAACTTACCACAAAACAACATTGTAAAATGGTGCATGGAAAAATTTAATTGCCTCATTAAAGGACTGGAAATTATTTGAACTGATTGAGAAATAACAACTTGTGTTTTAGCGCACTCTGGGATATTGAGACTGGCCAGCAGTGCACATCCTTCATTGGACACACAGGAGACGTCATGTCTCTGTCGCTTTCCCCTGATATGCGCACATTTGTCTCGGGTGCTTGCGATGCTTCAGCAAAGGTACAATTCTTTTGCTATCCCTTTCATTTCCAGAAACTAAACATTGATTTTCTTTCCAGCTTTGGGACATTAGAGAAGGAATGTGCAAGCAAACTTTTCCTGGCCATGAGTCGGATATCAATGCTGTTACAGTGAGTGTCGAGATGGGTTTTTTTTTTAATGTTTCGACTCATTTACTTTGCCTTGATTGCAGTTCTTTCCAAATGGTTTTGCATTTGCTACTGGTTCTGATGACGCAACATGTCGGTTGTTCGACATTCGAGCTGATCAGGAACTAGCCATGTATTCACATGATAATATTATCTGCGGTATCACATCAGTCGCATTCAGCAAGTCTGGTAGACTGCTGTTAGCGGGCTATGATGATTTTAACTGCAACGTCTGGGACTCAATGAAAACTGAGAGAGCAGGTTTGTGCAAAATTAAAAGTTGAAATTTTTATTCACTGCGATCAGAAAATTGCAAAAAAGGTAAATGTTGTTCTTATTCTTTTTGCAGGTATCTTAGCAGGCCATGACAACCGTGTTAGCTGCCTAGGTGTAACCGAAGATGGTATGGCAGTAGCTACTGGCTCTTGGGATAGCTTCTTACGAATCTGGAATTAAGGAAATCAACGTTAATTATAACGCGAAGTGTTAAATTAAGATCCCCGTTTTGAATTTCCCCCACCGCTGCCACATTTTTCAAGCATAAACAACAACAATCATCTCTCCGCGACACCTGCGTCCCTCTTTGAGATCTGCTGCTCCGTCATCTTGTGTAACTAATTAGAACAAGAGAAGAAGCGAACTGCTGTTCGGACCAAATATTTCCGAAAACCTGCAGCAAGGAAGATTGCAAAGAAGCAAGTAAGCAGCAGAATTATTTGTGCCAGAAGGGAAAAGTTAAAGTCAAAAGTACATTTAAAGAGAAAACACACAAAAACCTTCCTCGCTCTAAAATCGTACATAGTGGACAAATGTAAGAGACAAATTTGTAGGGGCTTAATTTTATTCGAGCGGCCAAATGTTTTTTTTTTTATTTAATATCAAACTAATCAACACGATTGTTTGTATCGCTACTCCTAGTCAAATTAATTTGTCTAACGTGTCTTTCTTTTTTCCTCTCTCTCACTTAAACACTCCTTGTGTACGCGCGTGAAGTTTCAGTTCTCAATCGGTTAAAAACTGTTGATGTGTTCACCTAGCAAAATTTTGGAGTAGCCTCATTGATTCCCACTGCCCTCAATTAGACACGTAAAAAGGGGGAGTTGAAACAAAAACATTATTTCCAGAGCAGTCTTGAAAGAAATGAATCATATTGGGACCACGCCACGGGTTCTTAAAAACACACACAGACACTACCCATTTATATCTAACAAAAAAGCAGAAAAAGAGCAGTGGGCGTTGAATCAAGCAAAAAAATCCGATGCAACCATCTGCTGCCCTTGAAATCATTTTTACACCTTGAATCACCACACTTGGAAAAAAACTAATAAGAAAGCATTCAACACTGAAGCACACTGAGGTAGGAAGTAAGCTTTGAAAGAGCAGCATTTTCTTTAAGAACGGACTCGAAAGTGTATCATATTTAAAAAGAGCGAGGAGGATAGAATTAACATACAGATTCACTGATAAAATTAATTGTGAAAATACAAACAAAAACTGATCCGTTTGTTTCTTCGTTTGCTTTGTTGTGGATCTTGAAAGAATGAAAGAGCGAGAAATAATAAAAAAAAAACTTTTTGCTACTATATCCGTAAAATCTCATCAGTGTGGTGAGTGATTTCGCGCACGCACGAAAACCAACCAGCTCGACACTCGGCTCTCGACCGACCAACGGCCGCGGGCGAAGAAGGAAGAGAGAAGTTTCGACGTGTCGACAGTGGTGGTTTTTTATAATTAATAAATCCGATGATTCAAACGAAAGTATATACATGGTGTTAGTAGCAGCAGCGACAGTTTCGCGCGAGTAAACGTGACTTTTACGAAGAGAATGTGACAAGCAAGCAAGAATACATCAACACAACATCAAATTAATTGATAGCGAATAATTATTATGATTACCTTTTGAAATGTTACTTTGCAGAGAGACACACCTTTCCGTAAAAATCAATCTACACACTGTACGAAACAATTTTCATTGGCAATGTATCGATATGTAAAAGAGTATGTAAGTGGAAACCGCATTTGGATTTTTGAGCAAGAAAAAAAGAAATGCAGATGACGAAGTAATTATTAAAGCATTAAAAATTTTAATAATATTAGATGTTAAAAAAAAGGATGAGAACGAGCATTAAAAAAGAACACACAATTATTACTTTGGAGTAAGAAAAAAGGTGACAAACCCACTAAAAACACAACACAAACACACACTTTATATTAGGTAATCTGCTTTCAATGAGTGTAAGTGAGCGAGCAAATCCATTGATTAAAAAGGTATAAAAAAAAATGATGAAAAACAGCATTAGATTGTGCAGACAAGCTGTTAACGAGTGAAAAGGTGCAACAACCACAGAACTGTGTAACAAATGTAGTGGAAAAACTGACATCTCTCTCTTGTGTATGTGCAGTATTTGTCAAGCAAGCAGTAACACTCTTATTAATTAATGATTGATTGCCGATTGAAATGGATTCACACTGCATTTGGTTTTGCATGTGAAAAAAAGAGTAGCGCGCACACAACTGTATTATTATGTAAAAGAGGGAAGGAAAATCTAACTTTGACTTCAAATAGGCTTACCGGTTAGTCAGTAAAAAAAAATGAAGTAAAAAAGAGTGCAAGAAAGTCATCCCGCCACCCCTGACATTTCCTGCGTACGCAAAAATCCTTCTTTGTTACAACCGAGGGAGAAACGAGTGTGTTTTTGTTCGGTCTGCGTGAGGAGGTATATTTAAAACAAACTTAGCGAATTCGGTGTGTGAGTGGAAATTTATTCTTTCGATCCTGTGAATTTAGCTGAAAAGAAAGCATTTGTTGTGCAAGTGATGAGGGAACAAGAAAATAGTCACACGAAGATGACATACGCTTTTGTTGAACATAATCCAACAATCACTCGATTTTTTTTATTAATTTCATTCGGCCAGCTTTCCGTTTGAGAAAAAAAACACAAATTTCCGTAACTTGGCACAAATCGCAGCACAATTTAACTCTCTCGTTTTCTTTTTTTGCTTAGTTTTTGTACACATCTGTCCAAAGTGCATTTATTATCGAGTACGATATGTATTTACAAATTTACAACTAACTTCATTCCACGCACAATTATTACGACTATATTGTTGATTATTGTAAATTTCTCGTCTCGTTTAGTCCCCCCCTGACCTCTTCTGTAAAATATTGGCTTCCCCTCTTATTTTGTTTTATTTTAACAAATCGCCCAAGTTTAAAGAAAATAGTACCAGCCGTACATGAAAGTGTGAGTGTCGAATTTTGAATCGTGTATATTTGTGTAATCTCTGCGTTGTTAATAATCATTTTTCCGGCACCACTTTGCAAGTTAAAAAAGAGTTAATGGAATAATTATCACATTATTATTGAATTGCTCTTTATTATTATCATTTAAACGCATTATCTGTGCCTCTGTTAAGTTCTGCATGAATGGCATTCATTGTTAAATTATGTCTCCTACATATATAATCAAATACACTGTAAACCTTAGTTCTGTCGGTGTTTTATTTTGATTTGATCATTTTTCTGTTGGCTTTCCTTTGTGTGTGTGCTGCCTCGATTGTTCATTAATTTTCTCATCTCGCACACTCTTTAAACTCAACTCGAGTCGGCCTCTTTTCCGCACCCTACCGCCTTTTGTACATACGAACTCTCACTCTCCTCCGAGGTCGGGAGCGCAAGGGGTGGATTCGTTGCACCCCCAAAACCAACCCCCCCGCAGCGCCCCAGGCCGCCATTTAATCAGGTTGTGAATAGCATTGCTAATATCTAACAAACTTCCATCTCAAGGGCTCAGGGCAGTGTTATCCATCGCCTCCTTATTTGGCACCAACCCCCAGCCACCCTCTGTAGACCTTTGGCCGGTCCGAGCGAACCACTTTCATTTTGGGTTACCTAACCTGTGTAGAGCCACCTCTTCAGCCGCCGATTTGTATAATAAATTCTAAACCTATTCGGAGCCTGGAAACTTTTTCCTTCGGGAACGGTGAGAAATTTTTGCTTGCTGTTTTTCGACAGGGGATTTCTGGTAGCTTCGCACGGCTAAGAAAGGGATGCAAACGGATGTTCGCCGCTTTCGGGTTAATGCCCACCCTCATCTCACCCTCACCTAGCTCTTTTGAGAGAATTAAACAAGAGAAACGCTTATACATACAAAAGTCACAAACGTTCACAAAACACGTGAAAAACGAATGGAATATAATCCATTTCACGACCGATTGAAATAAAAACGTCTCACATTTTCGACACACACACCTTGCAATGACCAAAGATAAAAATGCTGATATTGATTGAGGAATCAACCGAAACACCCCTAAATGGATCATGTATGTGTAAAAAGAGTGCGTGTTTGCTGTTTGTACCAGGCATAGTGTTAATAAAAAAAATAATCTTACAAAAAGGAAAAGTAAGGAGTTGAAAAAAAAATGATGAACAATATCACGACGCGCGCTCTGACACAGGTTGATAACCCATGAATTATACTTATTAATTAACCCACTGCGATTGATTAACGATTTAACAAAACCGAAAAAAATATGCGCAGGCATTTTTCTTTATTGGGGGCCACTTTATAATTAAATAAAAGTAAATATAGGTACATACATGTATGTTGGTGTAAATGTGTTGGGAACGTGTACACACTGCAGTATGTGTATTTGTATATATTTTGTAAATTATATACATTTACATATAAACCGTACAACTGATCATATATGAAGAAAAAAATATGAAAAAAAGCACACAAAAACACTTTTGCTGAAAAGCGCGAGTGGAACCAGAAGAAGTGGAAATTTGCGCATTTTAAATGGGTTGCTGGATGTCCATTGATTATTTCTACACGCTGTACCCATCACTGGAAAAAAAATAAGACAAATTTAACACAAAAGATGGACAAGATGCATGACGAAATATCTCTGTAACATTCATTACGATGACATAGTAATTAGTCCACGCAGTATGAATACTACTCACACACACAAACACAAATCACTCAAACCCACCCACCAACGACTCATATCTCTCAAGCGAAAAGACTTTCTTCAGAAAAATATTTGATTCGAGTAAAATTTCAAAATTTTTCCGACGTTCATATCATCCAAAAAACACTCTGCAACTCTGATTGATTCTGCATGTCGCTATGTAATTAATATAGCGACTGAATTAATTATAAAAAATAATTATAATGCCACCTTTTCCCACCCACTCTTTGCCACCGATCGACACACACCCAGTTAATATGAGAAAAGATACACACAGCCTTTTCATTTTTGTAAGCATTCTCACACTAATTTTTAAATGTGGGGCTGAATGATGTGTTGTCTAAAAATAAAACTTAAGGAAAAATCGCTGACAGTTTTTTACTTTATCTACCATGCAGGTTGCATCACATAATAATTGCATTTCTTTCTAAAAATACCAAAAATCTGCATGATATATTATAAGTAAAAAAAAAAAACACAACGCAAACATTATTATCACTGTGTCAGAGTGCAGATCAACTAGTATTTTATAATTTGAAAAAAAGATTTAAAATGTAGCTTATGGAAGTCATATTTGTGATTTGTCTTGTAAGTAACTATCTCACTTGTCCAATAAAGCTAATTGTCTTTAAAGACTTACGTCCATTGCGTTTTTTTGCAGAAACCAGATAACACAACATCCATGGAAAAACTTTATAAATATAATTCATTTAAAATTCATTCCCAGCATTGTCAATTTCATGAGTCAAGAGAAATATAGATTTTTTTATTAAATCAAAGCAGTTAATTTATATTTGACTTCTCTCCATGCTCTAACTTTAAAAATTATTTGGAATTGTTTTTTTTATCTAGTTTAAAACTTTATAATTATAAATAATGACTACACAGTAATGGAAATGATTATCATTAAAATTTGAGAAATAAAATGCGTCTCAAATTTGTAAATTTCAGCAAATACGGTTGGAGTTTATTTGCCTCAGCGTTACAAAATAAGATACAGGAGAAAAATAAGGGCATGGAACACGACTGATTAATCATTGTCCTCCTCTTCCTCATCCTCCTGATTGTTGATCTGAAACAAAAAAACAGCATCGTTTAAGTACTTCTCTCGATGGTTAATTTACAAATAAGTTATACCTGGAAGTATCTCAGCTCGTACGAGTCCTTTCCATTGGCCACCACTCTCAACCAGTCACGCAGATTATTTTTCTTCAGGTACTTCTTAGTCAGATACTTAAGGTACCGCTTGGAAAAGTGGATGTCTGCGTTCACTGTGACCTTGGTCTTGGTCCTCTCGAGGCTGACAGCGCCGGACAAATTGCCAGTCTTGCCAGCGACCTTTATTCTCTCCTTAAGATAGGCCTCCTGTAAATGGATTAAGATTTTTAAAATTTACTATCAGAACATTTTTAAATTTATTCAGAAAAAAGTACAATTTTTTTAAGAAATAAAACTACTTACGAATTTTGAAACATCCATAATTTCATCTTCAACTGGTTTCGAGCAGTCAACAGTGAATTTGAGCTGGATCTTCTTCTTCTTCTGTCCCTTCCCCCTGAGGGTCTGCTTCTTAGGGGCTGTGGTCTTCTTTGGGACGGGCTTCTTGGCCCCAGCCTATGTAGATAATTAGAAATTAGTATAAACTTTTCTGCGTCCAAGTATTCGTATATAAACATTGATGTCAGCACGGGGTATGGTACGAATGGGCGGATAGGCAGATATTAATCCTCGACCATCGGTGATAAATTTCAGTAATTTCACAAATTTATTGTTCGCAACTCATATTAGTACAATCTTTGTTTAAGATTTAAACAATCATTCACTGAGATTTTCCGTATTTATTGAGGAAAAGAAAATCAAAATTCGGAAAGTCATGTGGCTCGCAGACTGGCAGCCCTGATGAGAGTGAATTTTGACAGCTCGTTTTTGGGAATGTTTGAGTTAGGATATATTTTAATTTGGTTTTAACTGAAAGAACGGACTTTACTGAAACGCTCAATGTACCAAATTGTAAGAATTACAGTGCAAAAAAGTCAAAATTTCGACTTACGGCCTTTGTTGATGCGGCGACGGGTGCCATGTTTGCAAGAAAACACTGCTGCCACGAGCGGTGAAACACTCAACCAACGCCGTTAATGGCGTGATTTGATTGGGCAAAAAAGGGCCGGTTTCAATAAAAACTTTAAGTGAAAATCGCTTGGTGGCAGCACTGGACTAGACACCGGCGGCAGAGAAGGGAGGCACGTTGTTTAAAATTTTGCATAAATTTGTTGTTTTTAGATATAAATCTAGTCACTAATATCTGTGATGCACTCAATTAGCGATTTTAGAAGCATGGATCTGATATTAAAGCCACTCCGATGTAAGTTAAAAACAGAGTACTTCACAATTATTTCTATTTTTGTCCTTACAAACTTACAAAGGTCAATTTTTTAATCTTTTTATCTCGATTCCGATCTGAATCTCCAGCTGATGTCTCAATTTTATAACAATGCACGTATGTACGGGATGTTGACGAAGCAAATTAGCAAAATCAAGTCCTGCGATGTACGGTTCGTTGAGTCGAATGAGCCGTCGAACAGTCGTGTCTGCAGTTTCACTATGAAATAAGAGGTGTTTTATGCTTGGAGCTGTGAAATTTCCAAAATTGCATCAGCATTATCGACCTCACTCGTCTCGTTTTTTATCACTTCGCTATAAAAGGCAGGTTCAAGAATAATAATTAATTGTTTAATTCTCAAGCACAAATATTTTTAACTGTAAAAAACATTTTTACTTCCGTGCTTAAAAAAATTAATTACATGGAATATATTGTATATTTTCACCTGAAAACAATAATATTTTAAATTATTTTCTATTTTTAATTAATTCCTGCTTGCTTTGAAGAAAATAGCCTATTAATTTTAGTACATAGTAGTTTTGCGTGTGTTTGTATATAACCTATGTGCCAAGGTAAGGTGGAACATTTTTAGTAATTAAATTCAATATCCCTAAAAAGAACTATAATTTTGGGATTGAGCAAAATAATCAGAATTGTTCAGCAGAACTTTGGTCAAAAAAGTTAGGAATGATAGTTATATTATTATTATTTTTTTGTTAATTGACTATAAGTGACACCAATATATATTTATTTTGTATTTCATTCCAGCGACTTGCAATTCCTTGTATCCGAAGGTTCAAGTGAAGGAGAAAAATGGAAAGGTGGTTGAAGCTTTCGCTCCTTTTGTGCATATTTGGTTTCCTGAAGGAGATCCGCCCTTCAGAGCCGTATGTCACTCACTTTCTCATGGGTCCATGGAAGAACTTCACTGCAAATGAAGTAATATTTCAAATAAATAAATTTTCAACAAATAAATAATAATAATAAAACAATTCCTGCAGGTTTACGAGGAAATCTACCCCGTAGGAACATACTCGACCCTGGCCCTTTTAGTGGTTGTGTTTTTGGTGACCGACTTCTTGAGGCACAAACCTGTGATTGTGGCCGATGCGCTGACCGGAGTCGCAATTTACTCTCTGCTCATCTGGGCTCAAGGCATTCCTCTCATGCAGGTCTGGAATCAATTCAATTTTTAAAATTTTTGCTAAAATATTTGAAATATTTCATTGCCACCCAGGTTATGGAGGTTCTTTACGGAGGTTTCATGGCTGGCGAGGTGGCCTATTACACGTATATCTACGCCAGCGTCGACCGAAGCAGGTACCAAGCTGTGTCGGGGCACACAAGAGCTGCTTATCTGGTGGGTCGATGCACTTCTGGGGTGATGGCGCAAGTGCTCGTCTCTACCGGTGCCATGGACTACCTTGAGCTCAACTACATCACCCTGGCCTCCATGGTGGCTGCTACTATGTGGGCCCTCCTGTTGCCATCAACCCAGTCCAGCATTTATTTTCACAGGGATAAGGCCATTTTGCCAAGCCATGTAAGATTTTTCAAATTTATAATAAAATTTTAAAATAATATAAATACTAAAATATTTAGTAAATTTTCCAATCATGTAATGTATTAATGGCCAGCAAGTATATTATTTTCTTAATTTCCACTAGGAGAAAGATTCACTTGAAGCAAATGATGCTGCACCACCAGAACGGATGGCTCGAGCCTTTTGGTATCTTCGACGCGATCTAGTGACGGCTTACACTTCTTCTTCGGTGGTCAAATGGTCACTTTGGTGGGCGTTGGCAACTTGCGGCTTCTACCAGGTGCTCAATTACACGCAGCTCATCTGGGAGGAAGTTGTCCAGTCGTCCGGACAGCAGCTCTACAATGGTGCTGTAGAGGCTGTGTACACTGTTGTGGGTGCCTGTAGTGCTCTTGCCCTTTCCTCCCTCCGACTCAACTGGCAGCTTCTCGGGCCGCCAGCGCTGGCCGCCTGTGCCCTTGTCCAAGCAGCGGCCGTTTACACCATTTCTGTTTCCCAGGACTTGTGGCTCTCTTATGCGGCTTACATCCTTTGCCTTGCAGCTTACCAGGCATTAGTCACCATTGCCAGGTTTTTATTTTTTTTTCACTAATTTAAAATAAAATTGCAATCCATATAACTACTTATACTAAATTTAATATTTTTTTTTGTAATTTCAATTTATAAAATTTACTATTAAATTTTATTAAAGTTTTTTTTTTTTTAGTTCGGAAATCGCAAAACTTTTGAAGGAAGAGTGCTTTGGTCTAATCTTTGGGGTCAACATGTTCTTCGCCCTGGCCTTGCAGAGTATCCTGACCTTGGTAGTCATCACATGGCTTCAAATAGCTCCTCGGGAGCAGGTCAATATATTTTATTTTTAATCATTATGTATACTGACCATTTGTTTTCATTTTTGCAGTTCCTTATTTACGGGTCGTACTTTGCTGTGCTTGGCGTGGGATTTGTGTTTGTTGCCCTGTACTCACTGCTAAAAGGTCAATGGCGTGGTGTCACTCTCAAATCACTCTGGCTGCCCAAAGAGGAAAGGGCTGATACGTAAAGGAAGGATCAAACATTTCATCATAATCAAGAATAGTCTGATTTCAATAGCTGTGCTTTTTTATATTAGTGCCTTTTAAGAAAAGAAAAAAAAACAGTTTTTATAAATAAATTTGTTTAAAATCATGCCCGTGGGACTTTTCTTAAACACATGAAATAATATAAATAAGAAATAGTAAAAGAAAATAATAATTTATTAGAAATTGAAATTTGTTTAAAATAATTGACGTCACAAATAAAGGCAGTTAGTTTTTCAATATAAATACATACGCTAATATACTTATGCAAAATAATATAAATGAATTTTCAAAATAAATGGTAGAAATATATCGGCTATAACAGACAAAGCTTGAAGCGCTGTGCTACGGCGAGTTGAGGTCACAGCAATGCCCCTCCCTACTCCTCTCGCCTCGTCATGTGTTTTAAATCACATCACATTCTCAAAGAAAACATGGACTGTCAGCATGATGAGAACTAGTCTGTATAATATTATTTATATGAAGCGAGCCCTATTGTGATAATAAATTCATGTACGTATATCATATCTTTCTCATTGCATACAGCCTTTGATCTAATTATCCACATCACTTTATAACTCTCATCAGCTAGGCAAGACAAAAGCGCGCAGCAAATGAGCTGCATTAATGCAATTTAAATTTTAATAACTTGTCTCGAATACATATATACAATTCTCAAACTACCCAATTAAATATTAGCTTGGAACTCAGTCAACCCATACGATTCTTCTTAAGATATTATACAAAATATTAGAAAATGAGAAAAATCCTGCAAGCTTACTTACGAATATTGGACACTCATCCATGGAAAGTACACGCAATCCAAACGGGTATGTATTTTCTTTAATTTTGTAAATTATGATTACATTTTTATAAATATTCACTTAATAAACAGGTACTCTTATGGCTGTTGGAGATGTGATGTCTCAAACCTTAGTGGAAAAAAAGAAATTCAAAGAAATGGATCCGGTCAGAATAGCAAGATTCGGTGCCATGGGAGTGGTTTTTATGGTTGAATATTTTTTAATTAATTCTTCCAACTTGAAAAATGTTGTTTTTTTAGGGTCCAGGACTTTGGGCTTGGTATAAAACCCTTCACAAGTTAGTGGGTCACTCGAAGAAATACATGGCTTTGAAAAAGGTGGCCCTCGATCAACTTGTAGCGGCACCTCCTTTTTATGTGGGATTTTTAGTTGCGACGGGTGTGATGCAGCAGCAGAGCCAAAAGGAAATTGTTGAAAGGATAGAGAATGACTTCCTGGACATTTTGGTGAATAATTGGAAGGTGCGTAATTTTGGATTGATTATTTAATTGTCAGATTGTAATTGTAAATTAATTGCAGCTGTGGCCAGCAGTGCAGCTCGTAAATTTTGGAGTTGTACCCCTACGTTTTCAAGTCTTGTTTGAGCAAGTTTTCTGCCTTGGTTGGAACACCTACTTGGCCTGGAAGTGCAATCGGTAATTTCTGTTTTATATGTCAAAGTCATTCGAGTAAAATACTTTCAGGGATTAGTTTTTGAAAATTCTTGCCTATTAAATATCCTCAAGAAATTTTTGTTGTTAAAATTACCATTTCATTAGATATAAATAAAATGATAAGACTATTGAATATTTTTTAGTTTACTTGTAATCTGTTTAATTTTTTAGTACCGTTCATAAGCAAAACAAATTTTATTATCAACATCACTCAACATGAGGACAGGGTCAGAACAACAAATTAAATAGGAATCTCATCACATTATAAATGTTCCATTAGTCGACAAATTCACAGAATCATATTTCCGTATACGTTAAACAAAAATCTAATGATCGGTATGATTTCCACAATATTAGTTTTGATTGGTTCCATCACTTTCACTCGCATTCTTTGGACAAGTCTTCTTTTTTACATGGCCTCATTGCATACATTCTGACAGGAAAGAGACCTTTAGGGAATCTTGGCTGTTTCATTTCTCTCAATATTCTCAATCCTGAGGGTCCAGTCAAAATTTCAACAAGTGCCTTTTCCGACCTGGTCACTGATGCGTCCTGTGTGTCTTCCTCAGTTTCTCCACTAGAGGAAACATTTTCCTTCACCACAATCACGCCACTTGGCTTCAGTGCTTTTCTATTATATTTTATTTTGATGAATTCAAAAGAATGTAGTATACAAAACAAAACTTACATGTTCGCCTTCATGAACTCTACAAAGTCGTGGTCTTTGAGTTGACCTAGCACCCACTGACACCAAATGACATCATAGCTCTCCTCAGGTTTAAAATTTTGTAGTCCTAAAATAGAAATTTATTTTTATTTACCTTCAAGACTTTTAAATTGAATTTTTAAATACCTTCACAATACATTTGGCCAACGTGTTTTGATGGTCCTAAATAAGTTTTTGCTTCTTTGAGAAATGCAGGATTTTGCTCAACAAGATCCACCTTGTCAAAAAATCTTTGAAGGAGGAGTTTAGTGACCCTACCAATGCCAGCACCGCAGTCAAGAGCTCTTTGTCTTTGTGGGGGGGTTTTTAGCTAGAAAATATAAAAATTATTAAAATTTCAAAAATAATAATGATAATTTATAAACCTTAAAAACACTCTTCAGGAAAGTCTCAGAACCCTGAATGTCAGTGTGAGAAATGTAGCCAAAGCCGCCGAGCATTCCATCCACCGTGGGTGGTACGGAGGACCAGTAAGTGGCAGCATGTGAGTAATAATTTTCAGAATTTTCATCAGCAATCATAGGCTGCAGTATTCTACATTCTTCTTTTTCGTCTCTCTGATCGTCTGAATTTTTTTCGGCTGGATGCTCCCACGCTGCCGTCACGTTGCTTTCAGCAGGTGCAGCGGGAATCACTTTACACAACGGTTCCATCCCTATCAGACTAACGGTGGTCAATGACCTGGGTGCAATATGTCACGCTGGAGTACAGACTCAGGGTCAGTGATAACAGGAATTCTTGATAAAACCCAAGGGAAGGTCGAGCAAAGCAAAACAATGTGATCCGAAAAGATGTTGAAAAGAATCAATAAAACAGAAGAGAAAAATAGACTGGACACGCCCCCCACGTGTGCGCAATTCTAATTTTAACCGGTATAAATCGGTATGTTTAAGTTTGAGGGAAATATTATCAGAATCAATGAAATTTTAATATTAAATTCACAAAAATTATATTTAAACTGAATTTCGTGTATGGTTTTTCATTTAACTCTGATAAAATTTAGTTATTGCAAAATTATTTAATTTAAAGTAACCGGTTTTTCAGTATTATTCAGCAAACCAACAACGTTACGGCTAACTTCAATTTAGTCCAACGTTTTGACCAATCAGAGCGCGAAATTTGTTCTCCGGTGCTCATTGCTTGGCGGCGCGGACGGTGCTGCTCGAGTGCCCGCTCACACAGCATTCCTCTCACACCAAGATCTTCAACCCTTCTACGCCAGACCACGCCACTGTCGTCTCGCAGCAGCCGCAGCTTTCGCGGAGAGAAAAATATGGTGCTGAGAGCAGTGTGCAGAAGGCGAGCTCGTGATTGAACTGCATTCTCGGCAGGAATCAGTCGACGGTCGGCAGCACAGGAGTGAGTGCGAGTGTCGGCTCTGATTTCTGGCGCGGCTGGGACACTTCTGCAACCCGATCACCCGTCGACACGCCACCACGCATCGCTTAATTGATGGACGAGTGATTTTTTGCAATTACCCGTAGCTGCCATACGTACATGTATTACGTACGTGCATGTGGAGGTAATGAAAGGCAGCAGCGGCCGCGGCGCATACCTTTGAGGCGGTCGACACCGTGACGCACCTGCACCCAAATCGCGCTTTTAATTCATGTTGCACCGGCCGATCGTCGACGCCGATTTCATTCAAGAAATCACGCGGCTTTTAATGTGATATCGGACCACTTGCCGAGTGCGATTGAATTGATTTTGATTGATTGATTCGTCGATCCCATCCAGTTCCGCGATTCGTCATGAAGAACCAACTGTCGGTTTTGTTCTTCGTCGGCCTGCTGGCCGTTTTCTCACCTGTCCGGACGCACGCGTCCGACGCCAAGAGGGTGCACAAGATGAGGTTCAAGGCCTCCTCTTGTTCGGCTGTGAAACCTCTTTTCGTCGCAAAGAACATCTCCGACCCACCCGATCACTCCATCGAAGGTATACAAAAAAATTGCAAAAATTATATATATATATATATTTTTTTTTATAATACTTATATTCCGATTCAAGTAAATAATACTACTTTTTTTAATAAAGAAGGATAAATTGTCCTGATTTATAAAAAAATTTATATTTTCCTAATTATTATGTTTTTAATTTTTAACATTTCCTTGAAAAAATATATTAATATGAATTATAACAAAAAAATCTAAGCAATTAAATTATTGCGTCTTCTTGTTTAAGATTATTGAATGTATTGTGTGTTATGAGACGAAAATTAATTATAATTTATAAGTCCTGCCTATTTAATTATAAAAATAAATTGTTTTCTAAAGTTAATTATATCAACTTTAGATCTTTTGCCGGCTGCTCTTTGCCGTGAGAGCAGTTCATCCACTTTGTGCTTATAATAACAAAAGTGCATTCTTTGTGCGCGCAATGCTCACAAACAGCGCTCGTTCTTTTTTTTTCATTCTTTCCCTCTTTGAAATTTCCTCTCTCTGCACTTTGCGTTTAGCACGGAGGTATGAATTGTTTGCTGCACGTTTATTTATTTTTTACTCTTTCAAGCAAGTGAGTGCATTATTTTTCACGTGCCTTTGTTCTTGTTTAATTTCGCAGGGCCACTCTTTTCTCGACTGTGTCCTGTGGTGAACGGCACCAGCAACTGCTGCACTTCGCGGATGGAGAACCAGCTGAAGTCGCTGGCGAGGAAAGAACTGCAAGAAGTGTTGAGGCAAAACTCGCACTCGATCCAAGAGGTCCTCCACTCCAACAGTCGCGATTACTTGGGTATGGATCGAAAAACTCTTTCCCTCCTGCACTTATTGGTTTTGAATTTGTCACTGTCAAAAAGCGTCTGATTTTTCTTTGATTCGCACTTCAATAGATTAATTACTTCATTTAGAATAAACCAAACATGAAGTAGAAATACATTTATATATTTTGCAATTTTTGTTGCTAAATTTTTAATCAACGCGTAAGAATTTTTTAATTAGTCCGTAATTATTTTAAAATGATTATGATAACGTCTATCATTGTTTAATTAAAGGACATTTCAATTCTTAATCTTGTCTTCGTTTTTTGCCCGTCCGTTCGCATTCTTCTTTGCATGCTTTGATAACGATAGTTGCTTTTAATCAGAACACGCTGCGTCCGGCTTTCAGGCTTACATGCGCAAAACTGCCCGGCTTGAAATTCCTACAGCGAATTCCGCAGGGCTTTTCCGCTAATTAGCGTCCGCAAATGGCCACTTAATGAATATCAGCAGATAATATAATTTGATAAAACGGCCCTCGTTGAATAATTAAACAGAAGGAAATGGGCTGTGCATGTGTTATGTGACGTTAACGTATTTACTCATTATACATATAAGCGCGAGAGCAGTGTGTGTTGTTAATTAATAATGCAAAAAATTCTCCTCACACTTCTGTATGCGTGGTGTTGTTTAGAGCGCCGGTATAATTGTCTCTCGCGGCTAATTTGGACGGAAATTGTAAATTATTTTAATACAATACTCATGCATATAAAAGCCACTTCAAGGAATTTTCATCTGCTGAGACTTCCTTTGCTTTATGGGCCTTTGACTTTCATCAAGTATTAAAATAATGGCCTACACTTTCAATTCCCTCCCTTTTGTAACATTTTTTTTTATCATTTTTTTTAAATGAAATTAGAAAACAACTCTACGATCTTATTTATCTTAATTTAATATAATTTCTTTTATAATTTTACAACTAATTGGGAATAAAATGATATTTATTATTTTCGTATTTTAAATCTTAATTATTTTATTTTACAGCATTCTAAAAACTATAAAATAAGTTTTAATAAAAAAAAAATTAGTTCTTGGACAAAAATTTAAAATTTCGAACGAGATAAGAAAATTCAATTTGCTCAACTCTTTTATCATTTGAATTACACGAAAATACTTTTCTTTCCATTCATTTTGTCATGTTATAATTATAATTGTATTTATTTAGTGTTATTAATGGTGAAAAAAAAAACAATAATAATTTAATTAAACTTCTGGCTTGCACTTGAGGAGGTCTTGCATAGTAAATTCTTATTAGATTGTTGTCTGCGGCAGCGCTTGCCCGGCCGAATATCAAAATTCAACATTTTTTCATCTCTTCATTTCCTTCGATGTGTATGACTTGCACTTGCAGAGCGCGTGACCTTGGTGTCGGTTTATTCATGAATTATCTGTGTGGCGGTACTTTAGCAGACTCCTCTCTCACTCACTTTGTGCTGCTCTCTCAAATGTAAATTCATCTTGTGCGCTCTTCTCTGCGGTGAAGTATATACTTGCAATTATTCAAACCGTACTCCGGCATTGTTTTATTAAGTACGACCCAGACAAGCAAGCGACTCTGATATTGATGAGAGCAACAATTTTATTTTCATCCTCTCTGCATAAGGTGACGTCAAGTAAAATATGAACAACAAACACACCCCATCCGTGCAGAGAGTAGAGAGAGAGTCGTTATCTCTAGAGTTTATCAACTCAATTGCATGATTTGCAATTAAAATTTATTATATACAGTTGTAACAAGAGGGAATAAATAAATTGATCTTTAACATTGTGCTAGGACGCGCGCTTTTCATGATGCATGCTAAATGTTAAATCAAGCCATTTATTTTATTTTATCTCTACTAAGCGGCACAAAGTTTTATTAAAATCCATTTTTAGAATCACTTGCATTGCGTTATTGTGTCATTTGAAAGAAAAAATGTTAATAAGAGATTTTTTTCATTTTCTTGCAGAGAAAATTATCGAGCTGAGCCGACGGTCGGAGAACCGAACTCTGGAGACGTTTGCCCAGGTGTTCCAGCGCCTGGCGCCCGAAGCGCGTGTGCCCATTCAGCAGCTGTTCTCCAAACTGCGCCAAGTCCTTGCTGATCCCGGGCCGGCCTCTTTCTTGAACGACTCCTCCGCTGACCTGGAAGAGGTGTCTTTGCACGACACCATCACAAACTTCTTCCACCAGCTCTTTCCCCTTGTGTACCGGCACTCCATCATCCACACAAATGCCGAAATCACTTCTGAGTACTCGCTTTGCCTTCAGGTATGCACATTCCTTTGACGTTTTAAAAGTTTATCTTATCGATTTGCTTGATATCCTGTCAAGATATTCATCAAAAATGATTTTTATCAACCATAAGACGATTTTAATGAGGACCTCACTAGCGATATTTTAAAGAGATTTTTCAATAATCTTAAGAGTTTTGCTGTGTACGAAATGACGTAATTGGATTTCTTAAAACAAAATAATCGCACCAAGTCCATACAGTAAAAAGATCTTTTTTCCAGTAATCATTGGTTTCTAACTTATTGTCAGTGTGTTGGAATAACAGTTTTGGGGGATGAAATTGATTTGATGCATAGATTCAATATTTTTTTTATCTTTAAAAAGGGTTTTAATTGTTTTTGCAATTATTCTGCTGCCCCAAATACATTTTTGAACTTTTTGTATTTTTTATTTCAATAATAATTCCCTGTTATCCGCACAGCACTCGATCCACAAATTGCGTCCCTTTGGCGACATCCCCAAGTCGGTGGGTTTTGCTATCGGCAAGGCGGTGCGCGCCATCCATGACTTCCTGCGCTCACTCAGCCTGGGCTTGGACGCCCTGGTGCTGGCCGAGCACGCCTGGGACAAATCAGACGAGTGCTCGAGCGCCCTGCTGAGGATGAGTTACTGCTCGCGCTGCTCGGGATATGCTGAGGTTAAGCCCTGCGCCGGCTACTGCCAGAATGTGATGCGAGGCTGCCTGGCGCACTTGACCGAGCTGGACGCCTCTTGGAACGGCTACGTGGACAGCCTGGAGGAGCACGTCGCCTCCGCGTACGCGCTCAACGGCCTCGTCAAGGCGGAAAAGGCCGTCGGCGCGCTCGAGACGCAGATTTCCGACGCCATCATGCAGGCCATGGTTGACGGACCCTCCCTTGAAAAGAGGGTGAGTACGATTTTTTTTTCAATTTCCTTTAACATTTTCTTATTTTAACTCGACAGATTTATTTAACAACTGATAAGTAAGCAAAAATTTATCAATTATTGACAAGGAAATTTATTTTCATATTAAGAGAACGTCATTACAAATTGATGATGAGTAATTTTAAAAATAATTTTAATTACTGGAACTTGCCCTCTGAGAGCTCAATAAAGGGCGATAAGACGCCCTTGGCCTAAAACATATTTACGAAGTACCTTTTTTCGATTTTCTAGATTTATTTTTCATAATTTTTTTTAATAAAATTTAAAATCGAATATAAAAATTTTATTTTCTTTGAAATTTTAAATATTAATGAAACCATTAGAATGTAATAATGGCATTTTTCAATGATAATAATAATAATAAATTACAAATAAATTTTCAGATATTTTTTTTAATGGTGTTGAAATAAGATATTTGCCATTTTCATCCACCACAAACAATGATATATTCATTTAATTTGTTAATTGTAAGTCTATTTTTCCTCTAGAAAACTTTGTTACTTAATGGTGCTGCTTCCTTTATTCCTCATTATAAAAATTCAGAGAAGCCTTCAGCGCATGAATATTTTTGTAAGGGTAATATGAGCCCGTTTTAAAAGTTTAAAGTGCATATTATATTAACCTCGTCTTTAACTGGCTGCGATCGTCGTTTCTTTTCCTTAAAAAGTTTAAGCCGGGGAGCCGAATTTTATGCGTTTTCCATCCATAAAACAAAATAATCCTCCACCTCCTCTTTCACCGAGAGAAGCTTTTCGGGCGCAATTTTGTGCGTCGTCTGAGGCGTAAGCTTCTTTCGCAGCTGTAAAAGTTTAGTTTAAGTAGACTAATAAAGATTCGCAGATAAGATACGCGCCGAGTTTAAAAGCCGACAGGCTAATGACAACAAAAACAAAAGTGACGAAAACTTGCTCACCGCATACATACTTACCCCCCCAAAAGTATAAAAGTGAGCACGTCTAGCGCGGAAAATAATCCGTTTCACCTGATGAGAGGTTTAGAGAGAGGAAATCGTACAATGAGCAAACGCGCACCTGCACCCCAACCGAGGGCACACGTCGCATATTATTATTATCTTTTCACCGCTAATCTGTTTATTCGCTTGCGCACCGCACCCGTGCCCATTACGTACATTAATAGGGGCGCGGGAGTGTTTTTTCGCGAATTGATTTTCGCACTAACCAGATTATTTCGGCCAGAATTAGCCACGGCCGCGCAGGGACGGTCGAAGGTGAGCCTTGTGTAAATTTCTTTGTGTAACGTCAGGCAGACACCGATCGAGCGAGAAAGAGGTGTCTGTGTGTGCTTAGGACGGACGTTGAGCAGACAGCAAATTTGGCTCTCGTCAAAATGGACTGCCTAAAACACGGGCCTTCTCTCACTGGGACCAGTTATGTCCTTGTTAAATTGACGGGCGACGCTCCCCAAATAGCACTTACTTAGTTTAACATTGAACTAATTGTAGCAATTGTCATTAGCATGATGTGCTTGGAACGGAGATCATGGGCTAAAAATTTCCTGAATCATTATTTTAAATTTTTTATTACTGTAAAATTTTCAATTTTAATAATTTAACATTTGCCAGGAATATTGATTTCGCTTTCATCCCTTTTAAATCAAGGAGTTTAAATCTTTTGCTAAAAAATTATTGATCATTTCAAGGCAAACGCTCTTCCAGTAAAGATACCCAATTACCTATTTTTTCTCATCAATAAACGCTTACAAATAGAGAGGGAGAAAATCATAATTAATGAAAAGTATTGTATTGATTTTTTCCGCTAGCTGTTTAGTGTATAGTATGTAACTTACTGAAACGTTTATTTCTTGATCAAAGCATTTTCATGGCATAAATGAAACAGCAAAAAGGAAATCAGACCCGATGAATTAAATTATAAAATTAATTTTGGCCCACGCTCCAGATGGCTTTGTGTGGGGCATCCTGCGTGTCCATGTCCAAGCAAGAGAGATTTTCTCTCAAGCGGCCGGCGACGTGTCATGTTTGCGGATGTGACACGTCCCCGCTTTATTTTTAGCCGTTTTATGATGCTTTTACAGCCAGGACCATAAAAACTGCACCGAACGCGATCGGAAAGTAGCTAAAAATAATTAACCTGCTCTGCTGCGATGGCCCTTTAAAGCCAAAGTGCATTTCAGCGCCGGTAATCGCCTTCTAAACTGCATTAACGCAAACAAATCCACGTGATTTACGAGGGCTCAACTTGATGAAATGTGGCAAACGGGGTGTATGGAGTGTGTGTTATAAAGCCCAGATCCGTGCACGTGATAAGTGGATTCCAATATACATCCACGTAACGCACTCGCTCTGAGAGGTGAAATTGTTAGTTTTAATCTCACGCACTTTGCAATCGAGGGACATTCCATTGATCATTAATTGAATGAAGGGGACACTCAAGGTCTTCTTGTCAACGCACATTCCAAAGCAGTTTGATAAAAATAAAGCCGCTTGTGACCTGGTTGAAATTACACGATAAACGCATAAATTTAAAAGGGGGCTTTGGGCTAATCCTATTTAATACACAACAACCAACTACCGTGCTGACTTTCAATAGTGGAGCTTTCAGTTGAACTCGCGCGTGACTGCTTTGTTGATCTAGACATTCTCAACACAAAAAAGCGTTAATTAAAATTTTTAGTAGGAAAAAAAATTAAAGTTGGTAGGTCTAAAAGTCTCACAGTTCGTCACTTCTTGGTGGTTAATGAAATAAATTTTAAAACGGGACTTTGATCACCTTTTTTTACATAACAACAAGGAGTTTGTGAAACATGACGAAATAATAAAAATCCACTTCCAAGGAAATGAAAATAATTAGTTTGATAAAGGAACGAAAAAGCAAAATTGAGATTGATTTTAAATCCTACATTTGTAGATCTAAAAGATAGAATAAGGTCAAGAGTGGAACATCACCTTCAGTTAATCCTTTTTTGAGTCTCAAGATGAAATTCTAAGATTACGCAAGTCCTTCAATTCAACACAATAGGTCTCCCAACAAGAGGCCTCTTTAGATTGAAGTCGTAGATCAGGCAGCGCCATCAGCCTGAGTTGTCGCCCGCCAGTATCTGCAATGTTGCAGTAAAATTCGCGTCTCTATGGTCGTCGCTCTCTCGTCACAAAACCCATTCTCGCCCTCCTATTTATATATATATATTATATATAAATTGCCACCACGGACTGCCGCTGACAATTTCAAGAATCGATTTCGCGCACATCGTGTGTGCGATTTTGCGCTGAATAATTTGCGCACCGTCGACTAACTCGGTGAATTACACCGGGGGCAGCCTTTCATATGCCCCGCGATCCGCCGGCCGGGGGTCGCGCAAAAAGGAGAATTCGCACGTATTTAAGTTCGGAAAGAGGCCGAGAAGAGACAGCTGTCCCCGCTTAATTTATTAGTACACACACCACGGCAATAATTCATCGGCCTCAGCCGCTGCTAAGCCCAACGTATAAAAGCTAAGCCACACCACGCAGATCTTCCGCTCGCTCGCAGCGCCGCTTTCGACCCGTGTTTGTGTCTTTGCATTTTATTTTACGACGCCGAGAATGGAAAACTTTTAAGTAAATTAAGCTTGGTGGAGAACCTGCGCACCGCGCGCGCGAGCACACAATCACACGGTCGCCGTTCGTTTACTTTTCACTCGGGCGGGCGCTTTATTAACTTTCCTGACAGCCAGCGAGAAACTTCTGAATGGGCCGCCAATCAATTTAATATTTTTGCCGCTGCCACCTCAAAGGCCTGTGGGGAAAGAAGTCGCACATTGATAAAAAGTTTTGAAAACTTTTTGGCTGCTCATCAGGAAATTCGTTTAAATGAAAATTACTTCCTCTACATTTCCTCCAGCATTAAGTTTGATTTAATAAGTTTGCAAAATTTTCTTACAATTAATCAAATTTCCAGTATTAATTGAGAAACTATGGAAAATTTATTTATTGATTTGATATTTTTCCTTGAAATTTTTTGTGTGAAACTTTAAATTTCATAAAAACGCTATTTCAGTCCATAAAAGATTCATGGCCACAATCCTTGCAAACCCCCAGTTAAAAGGAAAGAGTTGTGTATATTATTCATATTCTGTTTTACCTTGGAGAGAATTGATTAACCCACAAAACCAGATTAACATTTCTATTTCATAAAAATTTACGAAAATTAATGTATAAAAATGTTGATTCAAAACTCAAATATTATTGAGTTGTAATTGTAATTTATTTTGTGAGTTTCTAAAAATGAGAAATATAAATTGTATTACACATGTACCATTTGAGTCCGACTATAATACTGAATAGTGTCCTTGTCACACCCAGAGTGGAGCTAAAAATTTGCATACATACATCGTTAAATTTTTTTTTAATGGTAGCTAAAATTTTTTTAATAAATAAACGATTTAATTAAAAAATTAGTTTCATTTGTTACCAAAAATTTGACTCAAGATTTCAAATTTCCACATCAAATGCACGATATTTCGTTCTGATTCGGTCGACAATTGTTCAGAAATCGCTTTACAAACTTACAACGTAATGACAAATGACTCTGTTGTCATCAGCAGCAGCAACCGAGAGGCTCCTCGCTGCTACTTTTGTGATTTTTTGCTCTCGAACCGTCCTTGAGACATCTCTTCTGCGCTTGTAATTATTTTATGAATCTCTCTCCGGTTCGCCTCTCGCGCATCATACAAAACATAATAAAAGATGCAAGTGTACAAACACGCGCTATAACTGCGGCGGCGGCGGCAGTCTCGGGGTTACGCGCACAAAAAATTCGCTGGGAATCCTCATCGTTCGAGTATGTGTAGATGTGATTTGTGTGTGGGAGCGCAAATTACTGCGCGCGATAAAAATCGAAAGTCATTAACACGCCCTTCGAGTTGTATTATATTGTGCGCGCGGCCAAATTGGGCACAAAAAGATATGGTCCTCTCTGAATAATTTCCGTCACGTACGTCGCTTTA